GAGTAGAACAAGAGAAGCCGCCTCTGCCACTCCGCCAGTAGCGGGGACGCGCGGAGGCGAAGCTGGCTGTATGGGGGACATCGAACCTCTCCCTGGGAAGGACGTGCCGTGGTCTCGTATTAAGACTGCTGAAAGGTAAGTCATAAAGGAAGGGGTACGGGATTGACATTTCGTGGACGCGACTCAGAATCTCTAAAAGGTTGTGTTGCTAGCTTTTGGACTAGTAGCGAATCCTTCCTTCCTCCCCATCTCCTCCTCCCCATATCCTCCTCCCCATCTCCTCCTCCGCCTTCTCCCCTTTTGAGTCGGCTCAAGAGTCACCTTCCTTCCTCCCCATCTCCTCCTCCGCCTTCTCCCCTCCTTCTCCCGTCCGCGTCTTCCTTCGCCCCAGCCGTCTGCTTCACGGGATTTGAGACGTTGCAATAGTAGCCTTTCCCACTCTCCCCCCTTCTCCCACCTCTCCCCCCTCCCCCTCCCCTCCCCCCTCCTCCCCCCTTCCTCCCCCCCAGCCTCCTTGTCCAAGGGAGGCCCGCAGCCGCAGCAAGGCTGGCGAAGCGTCTGCTGGCGCAGCTTTGAACCGTCCCATAAATCTCCTCCCCCCCCTCCTCCCCGCTTCCCCCTTCTTCCTTCCCCCCAAGCCTCCTGCTCCAAGGGAGGCCCACAGCAGCAGCAAGGCTGGCGGAACGTCTGCTGGCGCAGCTTTGAGCCGTCTTATAGCTCCCCCTCCTTCCCTTCCTCCCCCCCAGCCTCCTGCTCCAAGGGAGGCCCGCAGCAGCAGCGAGGCTGGCGGAACGTCTGCTGGCGCAGCTTCTGGGGAAGGGGAGACGGGAGAACGGGGAGGAGCTAGCTTGGGGCGCGGGGGACGGTGACGAGGGGGAAGGGACGGAGGAGGGAAAAGGATATAGAAAGTGGAGGAAGAGGGGGATGGGAGAGAAGAGGGAACGCAATGAAGATTTGTCAGACTCAGCAGCAGCAGCGTTAGAGGCGGTGGGAGTGGTTTGGGTGCAGGCAAACGCCAGAATGGGCAGGTAGGCAGGTACACATTGCGTGGTAACCCTCCTATTTAGGGCACAATCCAGCAGTTGCCCTTCCAACCAACCAACCTCCAATGACAAGGCTCTTCTTTTCCACTGTTCAACCCCCCCCTCCCCCTCCCCCTCACAACCACCCCCCCTCCACAGCCCCCCCTCACAACCCCCCTCCCTCCCCCTGCGCTGCCGTTCCATCCCCCTTTCCTGTTTCCTGCGCCTATCGGCGTTTTCAAGTTATCTCTCGGTTCATGTTCCTTTTTGGCGCTCACACCAGAAGCCACGCCTAGAACCTGAAAGCAGAAACCCGAATTTCAAAGCCTGAATGTGAAACTCCAGGCGTTGAGCTTCTAGTTTCTCCATTCTCTCCTTGTTTTCCGTGCTGGCAGGCATTCTCATGTTCTCTCAGAGTTCAAATCAAACGCCTCTTTGGTGCTCTGCTCATGTCAAAATCCATGGCTAGAAGCCCAGAACCTGAAACCGGAAACCATGTCATTATAACCCTAATCCCACCTCTCCTTGTTTCCTGAGCTGGCAGGCATTCTCATGTTCTCTCAGAGTTCAAACGCCTCTTTGGTGCTCTCTCGCACGTGATTCCGCCTTTGTTCCTTATATGGTAACCCGTCCCATTCTTAGAATCGCCGATAGCAGCAATAGTTTCTCAAGTGTTGCTGCTGGTACCATATATGCAGCAGCAGAGAGTATTTATACCTAATTTGCTTGCTTGCTGTTTCACCACCGTGGTCTTAACTCCAAAAATCTCCGGATCATGCTAACCAGATTCTCTCAAAATCTGTGTTTCGATACCTCCCTGCCGCCCCCTGACAGGCTTTCTCTTGCTGTATCTGCCCGGGAATTCCGTACCGCGCGGGCAGCCCTTGAAGAGCTCTTCACACAGCTATTGACCACCACCACTGCCACCGCCACCACCAGCAGCAGCAGCAACAGCACCACCACCAACATCACCAGCGCCACAAATGCCAGCAGTACGGCCAGCCACACCACTGCATCCAACCCCTGGGCTCCTTCAAGGCAAAGGGCGTGGGGGAAGGTAGCGAGGGCATGCGCACAGGTGCATGTATGCACTGTGCTGGTGCAAGGGCTGGGAGATGTGAGCGGGGCGAGACAGTGGCTCGTGCATGCGCGCATGCAGCAGCAGCAGCAGCAGCAGCAGGAAAGTCAGGAAAGAGAGTCTGACCCCCCGCTGTTCTCCCCGTCAGATCTCGACGTAAGCTTTCTCCCTCGCTTTTTCTTTGCAGTGCAATTTTCTCTAGTCCCTTGTGTATCTCTCATCTCATCTCATCTCATCTCACGTCGATCTCTTCTCACGCCGATCTCTTATGTGTATCTCTTATCACGTGTATCTCATCTTGCATCGATCTCTTATCACGTGTATCTCATCTTGCGTCGATCTCTTCTCACGTGTATCTCGTATCCCGTGTATCTCCTATGCCAGTCACAGCCAGCTTCCATCTTTTTTCTTAACTCCAACCACTCTTCAAACCCCTCTCCTCAGTCACTTTCCGTTTCATGTCTGAGCTTAAAGAACTTTACTCCTTGTCACTCCAACACCCCCCCACCAGTTCCTCGATCAGCAGCTCGCGCTGACAATCCGACTCCTCCCAACCGCATCCCACCCAGCCGCCTCGTCCACCCATTCCACGTCGGGGAAATCTCTTCAAAATGCACCTGCCAACAGCGCAGCAGCAGCAACCAATGCTGCTGCTACAGATACTGCAAGTGCAGGAGCAGGCAGCAGCACGGCACGTTCGTTCCTGTCTGGCCTTGCACAAGCGCATGACACAGCATCAACACCCTCCCATCATCATAATCAACATCACCAGCAGCAGCAGCAACAGCAGGGAGGGGAACTTACCACGGCTACAGCACCACAACACAACTCCTCCTCCTCTCAACCTCCAACTTCTCTTCTCCCTGCCTCCTCCTCGTCCCTCTCCTCCTCCAAACACCCACTATCTTCCCCTCTCACCTCCTCAACCCACCCCACCTCCCGCCTGCCCACCTGGATTCTCTCCCTCGTGTCTGCATCTCGCTCTGCGTCCCGGCGAGCACTAGCAGTGCTGGCTGCGTGGGTGCGTGCAGCAGGGCAGTGCGGCCCAGAGACTGCCCTTATTGCTGCGGCGTGCTTTGCCCTTATATTGCTCACGCGCTTCCGAGCTCAGGCCAGCAGGTGAGGGGCCCGGGGATTGCTTGTGCATCTCAGTCTGCGTCCCGGTAAGCACTAGCAGTGCTAGCAGTGCTAGCAGTGGTGGCTGCCTGGGTGCGTGCAGCAGGGCAGTTCGGCCCAGAGGCTGCCCTGTGCTGCTCACAAGGTTCCGAGCTCAAGCAAGCAGGTGAGGGACTTGGGATTGCTTGTGCATTCCAGTCTGCGTTAGATGTTCTTACCTACTCCCTCAACCCCTTGCATTCCTTTAGTTTTTTTGTACTCAAACTTTGCTCCCCGCTTGCTGCTCTACGCTCATTCCTCTGCAGGGTTTTCTCACAAGCTCGTTCAGCAACACTGCAAGCTTTGCGGGATCTCTGGTCTCTCGCATTTACTGTTAACCTGAGCCCTCTAGCTGTTGCCGCTCAGCCCGCTACTGGCGCTGGTGGCACCCCTTTTAGATAGTGCGCTGTGCCTCGGAACAGATTCATTGGTTATATGAAATGGATGCTTGTCTGTGCATCACTATGAGATCACTTAAGTATCAATCATGATACCGTATGCTTCACCTCTTTATTCACCCTATCCATCCCTTTCAGTGATTGTAGCCATTATGCTTGTGGATAATATGTGTACTAAATCATTTGGTGTGTTTTTCAACCGAAGCACCTCATCCTCGAGTTCTCCGCGCCAACCAATCTGCCCTCGCCAGCTCCCGACCTTGTCGGACAGGAAGCGCCGCTCTGCTGCTCCAGCGTGGCATTTTCCGCTTCCCGCTGGCCCCGCTTGTGCCCTTTCCGCCGCCCCTTCCGAACGGTTTCTTCTCCAATGCTACCAGCTCCTGCCAGATTCCCTTGCGAATGTCAAATAGAGTTTGCGTGCGGTTCATGTATCAATCTTCAGGGGGGATTACCAAGCGTTTCGAAGCGATGAGACGAACAACCGCTCCAGATTGCACAGCATTGTACTCAATCCGTCTGGGGCACGCTTTATTCCCCCAACCAGCTTCCCCCTCCTTCCCGCTTTCCCCGCTCCCGCTTCCCCGCCTTCTCTTCCCCCGACCTCCCTTTCCCCCATTGTTACTCCAGAACACCCACGCAACGCCTGACTAGCGTATTTCCGTGCCTTTTCCAGTTGCTCGCCGCAGTTTGCGCGGATCCGACGCGCCGTTTCGCCGTTTCGCGGATTCTATATTTCAGATCGCGCCGTTTCGCACGGCCAGGTCTGAAGGGCAACGGCGGAAGGTGGCAAGGCAAGCAGCTGATGAAACTTCGCTGGCACGTCTTTCCGAATTCGGCGGCGCAACAGAATCTGCTCGTCACGATTGGCGAGCAGACGTGCTTGCTTGGAGTCTAACCCGAATCCTGACTGCGCATATCCTAAAATCTCGTTGCCGTGATTCATTTCGCTTCTGGATCTAGATTTCGCGAGATTATCTGAGAGTTTATGTCCTGCCATTAATTTCCCTTCCAGCCATGTCGACTTATTCCGTTTCCCCCTCCTGCCTCCCCCCTGTAGCCCCTCGTTCCTCCACCCTCCCGCCTACCGCGCCCATCCGCACATTTCCTCATCAACCTCATCCCCAGTCTTTTCCCGTTCATTCGATTTCCTCAAACCGCCCGATGCGCCCGAGCCGCGCGAGTCAACTGAGTCAATCCAGTCAACGGAGCTTACCAATTCAACGAGTTGATGGTAGTTTCGCGGGAAGGAGCGGAGATATTGCCAGCTCTCGTCAGTTCCACCTCCGATACAATCCGTCCCGTTTAAGCGCCCCAACCCCTCGTTATAGTCACGTCTCAAGTTCCGCCATGGCTGAAAAGCCAGGCGCCGTTCCCGCTCGAGCTGACTTCCCGTGCTCCCGTTCTCCCCGCCAACTCTCCTCTTCCGCCACCGCCCCTCCCCCCTCCGCCTTTCGCGCGCGGAAGGGCGGGAGAGTCGTAAGAGCTCGGGCAGGTGATAAAGACGTCAAGGGGGAGGGGCTGGATCAGGAAGGACAAGGGGGAAAGGAGGACGGGCGGGATGGGGAACAAGAGGAGGTGAAGGAGCGGGGAAGAATATTGGCCGAGATTGCATGGAGGACAAGTGTCCTTGGGCAGGCTGAATCTGCGGCATTTTTAAACTCGTTTCTTGAAACAGGAAATGAGTCCGCGGGGAAGGAGACGGCGGGGAAAGGTGCGGAAGTCGCAGCGCGAGGGAGGGGGTCGGATGTGACTGCAACGGGGGGTGGGAAGGACGGCCAGGGCGCGGAGGGCACACAAGGCGCGCAGGGCGGGCAGGATGTGATTATAGGGGGGCAGGTGGTGCGGGTAACGCAAGAGGATATCGATATAGCGGAGATGATCGAAGTTCTCGAGTCGGCTTTTGAGGAGCTTGAGGAAAAGATGGATGATGGGGGGAATGAGGAGGCGGGGAAAGGGAAGGGGAAGGGGAAAGGAGAGGGGGAGCGGGAGGGGAAGGGGAGACAGGACGGGAAGGGGGAGGGGGAGGACGGGGGCAAAATGGAAGGTGTGAAGGAGGGGAAAGAAGGGAAGGGGAAGCGGGAGGAAGGGAGGGTAGAGGGAGATGAAGATTCAGACACCGAGGCCATGGAATACGATATGGATATGGATTTAGACATAGATCTGGGGGAGCTATGCCGGAGCGCGGCTGTCCGGTGGCTAGTATCCTGGAACCTAAGTGCCATGTGGCAGGGCGACGTGCAGACGCTCGCAGCGCTCCTAGACGAGCTATACACTAATGAGATGCTCGTGATGACGCAGGACAAAGCGAACGACACCATGGCGGCCGCGGTTCGCGTTGGCACGGATTTCTTCCGCGCGAATCTGGCAAAGCAGTACGTGTGGTATGACGCGGATGGGAAGGTGGTTACGGATTGGACAGACGAGCGAGTGAGTGTGTACGTTGCAGGGACTCTCAGCCTGTTTCTAGACACTTCCTTGGAAGGCAACTCTGATACCGCCTTTCCCCCAGCTTCGCTGAACTGGCTCGACGAAAGAAATCTCCGATCGGAAGTTTTCGGGCCCGGGGCAGCTGTGGACATTATTACGTGCGTGCCCGGGCCATACGGCGGGAAAGTTTTTGCTTTTGAGCTGCCCGAAGGGAGGGAGGCCGGGGAGGTTTACGCGGCGTTGAATTCCCGCCTGAGACAAAGCTTCCCGAATCTTGAAGTTTCGTTAGACTCGATGCAATACGCAATGGATATGGGGGATGATATGTTCAAGGGCGGAGGTGGAGGAATGGGGGGAGAGAACGAGAACGACAGGGACGGAGGGTGGGGCGGGGGGCCAGGAGGAGGAGGAGGAGACGGAGGCGGGGGAGGAGGGAACTGGAACGAGTGGGGCCAGTTTCAGACGGGCAACTCGCCGACTCTCTACACCACGTGCGCTGCTTTCGTCGTACGGAGAGACGTTTTCTTGCAACCAGGCCTGCCCCTGCCCATCACCGCCGGTGCAGCCGCTTTCACTCTAGCCTCCCTCAAATCCCTTGTCCAGCCTGATCTAGCCCTCACATCCTCTTCAGATCTCGCATGGGCTCTCCTGGGGCTATATGCAGGCGTGGCTGCTACTACTGGGGCCGCCATGGCTGGACAATACCTCTGGGCGTGGTCGTATCGGACGGACACAACCAAGCCCCCCTCGCCGCTCTACTTCCTGCCGCTATTCGCGCCCGATATCGGCCTAGTCACGCTTATCACTCAAGTTGTAGCACCAGTCCCCTCTAGAGTGGCTCTCCTGGACCTTACCTTCCTCTCCTCCTCTGCTGCTATCTTCTCCTCTTTTGCTCTCCTGCAAGCCTCCGCCGCGTTCCCCTTCCCTCCGGCGCCGTTCTCCTTTCCCTCCGACCTCTCTTCTTTGGGATTCGAGCCCGCGGTTTCAAGAATGGCAGAGGCAGCGGCAGCAGCAACGGCAGCTGGGGGGTCCGTGTCTGGGGTTATCCCAGTGAATCCAGGCCTGTTGCAGCATTCTGCTTTGCTGCATGAGCTGCTGATACGTCTCTCTACCACTGTAATTCGGACTCCTGACCCTGCCCAGGTCCAAGCAGCTGCAGAAGCAGCAGCAGCAGCGGCAGCAGCGGCAGCGGCGGCGGCAGCAGCGGCAGAAGCAGCAGCAGCAGAGTCGGCAGCGGCAACAGCGGCAGCAGCAGCGGCAGCAGCAGAGGCAGGGGCGGCAGCAGGGGACGCTGGGTTAACAGCAGCAGCAGATGCGATAGCAGCACTTGCTGCTAGATCCGGACTCACGAATTTCAGCAGCGAAATCGCCTCTTCTTTCGCTTCCAGTGTTCTCAGCACCGCCACCACCAGCAGCAGCACCAGCAGCAGCACCAGCAGCAGTATCATCAACAGCAGCAGCGCCGCCGCCGATACCGCCAGCAGCAGCGACATCATCACCTCTCTCTCCACAGCTGCTGCTGATCTCACCAACACCATCGCCACCACAGCCACCACCGCTATCGCTGCCAGCACCAGCAGCAGCAGCAGCGTTGAAACCCTAGTCATTCACCCTCTGGCTCTCGCCGGTCTCCTAGGCCTTCACGTGTCTGCCGTTTCCCTCCTCCCGGCTGTCGGCCTCCCAGGAGGCGACATTCTCTACGCTCTCGTTCGAGACCCGCTCGTGCTCTCCCTCGCTACCACCGCGGTTACCATCATGCTTCTCGTCTCCATCCCTCTCAATTTCTCCTGGACCTGGGTGTTGCTGTTCCTGCTCCTGCCTCTCCTCGCCCTGGCTAAGATCAGAAGGCCGGTGTCAGAGGCTCTTACGGCTCCGGATCCTGTGAGGGTGTGTCTTGGGGTGGGGTTGTTGACGGCGGGGGTGGTTGTTCTGCTGCCTGCTCCACTGTTTGAGCTTGTGTTTGGGGAGCCTGCTGGGCCTGTGGCTGAGCAGATTCTGATTTCCCTGGGCCTGGGCTGAGTTGAATCGGACGGGAGGTTTGCAGAGCGGTGAAGCGGTGATGTTCAGCTGGCTCGGGTCGGGGGGACTTGTGTGGTGCAACGCATTCTCTGGCTTAGAAGGTCAGGTTGAGTGGGTGGGATGGGTTGGGGAGGGGGTTGAGGTTTTGAAGAGGGCGGGAGTTCTCGTGGGAGTCTTTGTAAGGAGATATGAAAGGATCGTCTTGCTGAAATTGATGCAACGTACGGTACATGCACCAGACATTCTTTTTAGTTACTCCCTTGCATGATATCTTTTCAGCTTTCACTGCTCAAAGCACACAGGTTTGGGCATGCAATTTCTTACTCAACCCCTTTCTGATTACCGTATGACCCTGACAACTTTATTGTCAGCACTGTAGGAACGTTCTAGATCTGAACTGTGTACCTAATACAAGCCTAATGGCACAACATCCAATTCCATCTGCCTGAAGAGTTCTACTGGTAGTCACACCCTTGGTTTAGTAGTTTAAGAGACAATTAGCGGAGCCCAAGACAATCATGTACATTGAAAGCGAATTTAGTCTCAACTTAAACACACCATCCATACATCCACAACTGCAACGGTACATGATGCACGCAGCACAAGACTACCGTAATTATATCTACATCATAGACATTTTACTTCTTGATCACCAGAGGTCCCACGTTGTCTCCAGTCGCCTTGTTGTGCTTCACATGTGCGCCGTTGCACAGGGGAAAGGTCTCTGAGCGCCAGCACCTGGTGAATCGTGAATGGGGAGGATAGGCCTTTTAACCTGTCTCATTGTCAGGAAGGGAGGATAGGCCTATTAACCCATTCACTTGTTTCGTTGGAGCACCACAGCAGGGCATACAGGTGTGGCGGTTTCTTCATAGTATCAAAAGCGTGGAGCTAAATCAATAAGTTAAAGGTTACCGCGTGTCTGCAGTAAGCGGTGATGGGCTTCTCGAGCTCCCCCACGACGGTTAAAGCTGCTTTTGAGAATTCTCAAAAGCAAATCAGCAAGTTCAGGGTTAAAACGACACGTGCCTGCAGTAAGCGGTGACGGGCTTCTCGAGCTCCCCCACGACGACGGTGTCAGCAACCTTCTCAACGTCCTTCTGAATGGCCGGGTTGATCACCACTGCCACCTCGCCCTTGGCCGCCTGATGGGGAGAGGGACAAGGGAAGTGGAGATAGTACAATTAAAAGGTGTGTCAAAAGTAGAGTGAAAAAAATCGACGACGGCTTCACGGACCTGCTCCACGTCCTTCTGAACGGCGGGAGAAATCACCACACCACGTCTTTGGCGGTCTGATGGGGAAAAATATAAAAAAAAAATAGGCGCCTCAAAACACTCCTTCTAAACGGCAGGAAGAGTCACCACACCACCTCGTCTTCGGATGCCTGGTTGGCCGAGGGACAAGGAAGCGGACGAAGAGGAGGAAGCGGAGAGAGGACGGTGGGAAGGGACGGCGGAGTGAGACAGACGGGAGCGAAAGGTTTATGGAACTTTTTTTAAGGATGGGAATGAAGTTTGACGAGAAGAATTCAACCTTTCGGACGGCATTCGACGAGGGATAAGTTAGAATGATTGTTGTTTTCACATAATGGCATCGACAAGTGAGCTCGGAACACATTTTTACGTACAATGAGAATCTGTCCGATGCGTACAGGGCACATTGAAAAAACTGGAGCATTCAAAGGTACTTCCTTATCTGAGCAATATTATTGAAAGATCAATGTCGTCGTTCGTCGTGCGGGTGTTGGGAATTTTACACAAATGCAAGTTCATCGTGACCATGCACGCCCTAATATAATCCGCGTATCACCCACCTCAGCACGGACGGACACGCGGCGGTTGGTCTTCACTCCGAAGCCAACAGCAGCAGCGGGAGCGGCGAGCAGGGGAGCAGCGACAAAGGCAGCCATGGCTGAGGCTGACGTAGAGAAGGTACGTGGAGAGGGCGTGTAAGGCGGAAGGAGAAGTGTGGAAGTTAAGTACTGGAAGAGGATAAAAGTGTTGTTTGATTTGAACGGGTAAAATGACATGGCAGCTGATTTATACCATGCTCGTTGTCTCCCTGTTGTGTCCTCGTGGTCGCCCGCTGACCTGATTCCTCCTGCCCTTGCATACGTGGCCCTTGAAAGCACCGCGCGCGAACTGTTCAGGGGAGGGATGGGGGCGAGGCGCAGAGATTCCACACCTTGAAAACATTTTACTACGGTACAGTACGTTTCAAAGTTTTGATGGTAGAGTTCTTCCGCCAAGGCTGGCTTTTGGGGGCAAAGAGGGCGGAAGGGGAGGGGAAAGTTGGAAATGTGTGAGGCTGATGATGAGGCGCCAGCGGATAGGACGACGCTGCTGCTGATGCATGCATGCACGCACTTTCCGCTGGGATCAGGTAGAATGCGGTGGAAGGAACTCCGAAATTCAGAGGTCGGGTTTCCAGAACAATCGTGTTGTCTCCGTTTCAGACAGCCTCTGTATCCATCTGGGATTCCATTTGGGGTGGCAATAACCATTTAGAATGTGGATATGTATGCATGATGCCTAATTCAAAATCACTTGATTCAAAATCCACTACCAAGTTCTTCTCACTTGCTTCCTCGCGCTGGTCCGAGGCTGATCCATTCCCAGTTGGGTCAAAGACAGTCAACTTTTGACGGCGATGGCTATGGCACCGTCGCCTTGTCCTCGCCATGTCTCTCTTGAGCTAACTCAAAAGGCACTTCCGACATCAGCTGCTCGTTTAGCCCGTTCAGCTTCTATAGCACGTACAGCTCGTTCAGCTTTCGCAATTTCGCGACCGAGCACGTTCACGGAATGGGCAATAAGAGCGCGAGTGCGCACCGGACCCGCCTTGCGCGTTACACGGAGCAGCGGCAGCGGCGGACGGATACAACGGGCACTGAACAACAACCGGATAGTCGTCGCGCGGTCGTCGCGATTGGCCAGGGATGCGCGCGCCGATCGCGGCAGCGTCGAGTTGCCATCGGACTTGGCTGACCTAGGAGGTGCGTCGCGAGATGTTCCTGAGAGTTCCTAATTTTATATCGGGAGGTGCGCCGGGGGAGGTGCCCAGGCTCGAGTGTGTTTTGTTTGCAACAATTGCCGCGGATCCATTTTGCCTGGTTACTCGTTGCTTCCGTTCCTTCCACTTCACTCGTTCTCCATAACTCAAATACTGTCCATACTCCCCCCTCCACCCCTCCCCCCCCCCCCATCCTCCTCTCTCGCCCCCCCCCTTCACGCCTCTGTAACCTCCCTGCCCCTCCCTGCCAACTCCCGGTTCAATCTATCCCCGCTACAGAGCGGCCGTGTGTGCTTATAGACCTCTCGGACCGCCTGACGCCATACCGCACGGCGTGGGAGTGGCAGCGACAGGTGGTGGCGCTGCGACATAGAGCTCTCACTGATAGGACGCAACAGCAGGAGCAGCAACAACAGCGAGAGGAACAAGCAGAACAAGCGGAGCAAGATGAGCAACGGTTGGAGAGAGACGATTCGCCCAGAAGAACCCCTTTTGCTGACCCTGCTTCCTCCTCCTCCTCCTCCTCCTCCTCCTCCTCCTCCTCCTCCTCCTCCTCCTCCTCCTCCTCCTCCTCCTCCTCCTCCCTCCCCCCTGACGTCCTCCTTCTAGTGCAGCACCCCCCGGTCTACACCCTCGGCACCCGCAGCGATCGCGCCAACCTCAGATTCGATCCAACGGCTGACACACTGCCAGGTGGCGCGGATCTGTTCGTCACGGAGAGGGGCGGGGAGGTTACATACCACGGGCCCGGTCAGGTGAGCCGGCTGGTTACATGCAGGCTGTTGCGGGTGGATATACCTGTAACCTGTAACCTGCCCCACAACAGCTTGCGATTTACCCCACCCTGTTCCCCCATGCGCCATGGCAGCTCATGAGTCGTGATGAATCCCACCCCATTGTACATCATGATCTGCCCATGGCAGCGAATGTCTTCCCTCGGCCTCTCTTCTGTGCGCTTCCCATCGCTGCCTGCCTGCCCTTCAACAGCTCGTGATCCTCCACCCTATAGTGGGCCGGCAGCAGCACCGTTGCCCCTCTTCTCTACCCTTCCCTCCCCGCTGATCCGCGCTCCCCCATACCCCACAACAGCTCGTGATATACCCCACCGTGTTCCCCGTTCTCCATGCCCCTTAACAGCTGGTGATCTACCCCATAGTGGACTTGCGGCAGCACCGCTGCGACCTGCACTGGTACCTGCGGTCTCTGGAGGAAGTGATCTTCTTCCTTCATTCCACTTCCCTTCCCCCTGCCTCCCCTCTTTGGGCTGTTCCCCCATGCCCCACAACAGCTGGTGATCTACCCCATTGTGGACCTGCGCCAGCACCAGTGCGACCTGCACTGGTACCTGCGGTCTCTGGAGGAAGTGATTATAAGGGGGTTGGAAGAAGGATTTGGCATTCGTGCGGAGAGGGAACCGGGCATGACTGGCGTGTGGGCAGGTGGGTTTGGACGACTGCGTGTGTATAAATGCATGTGTGTTTATGTGTGTATGTGCATCTCTTATACATATAGTGTGTATGTGTATCTCATGTATACAGTATACGTGTGTGTGAGGGTATCCCGTTGGATCACCTTCCATGGGTCCGCGCTCAATGTGACCACAGACCTGTTTGCCGTTGCCCCTTCTTCTCACACTCCTTTCCTCCCCCCTCCACTCTTTGATTCCCCCATTCCTTCCCCAGCCGGGTCCAAGCTAGCAGCCATGGGTGTGAGGGTGTCCCGTTGGATCACATTCCATGGCGCAGCGCTGAATGTGACAACAGACCTCTCTGCCTTCGCCCACATAGTCCCGTGCGGCCTCACCCTCCCTGTGGGCTCCGTTGCTTCTCACCTCCTCCACCACTCACACGCTGCTCATGCCGCCGCTGCTGCTGCTGCTGATGATGATGGTGATGATGCTGGTGCTGATGCCGATGATACTAATTATCGGAATGCTGCTGCGACTGACTGTATTGACGGCGCTGCTTCAACCTACGCTGCTGCAGAGGGTGCTGTGGTGGCTAGTACAGCTACATGGAAAGCAGTTGAGATGGGAAGTGAACCTGACTCTGGGTCGAAATGGGAGGGGAAGATAATGGAGCATGCAGCAGAGCATGTCGCATCTGCATTCGCTCAAGTTTTCAGCGTGAACGTGATTCCCCTGCATCTGTGCCTCAACACTGCTGTTACCGCTGTGGAGGGTGACGGTTCTGCTGCTCTGGGTGCCCCTGATGCTGCTGTAGCAGCTGGGTTAGCTCGCCAGCTGTGGCTGCCTGAAGACTTGTGTAGAGCAGCCCTAGTTGAGACTTCTATTCTAGAGCAAGAGGTGTGCGAGGCTGGTGCACGTATGAGGCATTGATGCTGTAGATGATGCTTTTTAATTAATGAAAAGCTTGTATGGGCTCTTGTGCATGTGAGGATTACGTAAAGGTTCAAGGCCTGTCAAGGGTGCCATCATGCCACACGTCTTCTTGCTGCTGTTGTAGCTGCTGCCACTACTGAGGAGGGTGGTGGCCCTGTTGCAGCTGGTGCTACTGATGCTGCTGTGGCAGCTTGGTTAGCTCGCCAGCTGTGTAAAGCAGCTTTAGTTGAGGTATGTTAGGCTGGTGCAGGTATGGAACATTGATGTTGTAAAAGATTAATCCTGATCAACTGAAAGCTCTCATCAAGTAGTCTGTCAGACTGTGAAGTAGGGTAATGAAAACATTCCAGGCCTGAGGCTGCTGTCACTGAACTAATGTTGACATCAGCCACTGAACCATGAGAATATCTAAGAGGAGAGTTCCTAACTGGCTTCCCGCAAGACAGCTTGGGTTTAGAGCGAGTTACAAAGCAACGTCCATGTTTCTGCATGTGCTAGTGATCTGGCAAACGCTTGTGCATTTAAAAGCAACAGCGATCTTAAAAGAAAAAACCCTGGAAACCAGGTGCATTCTCTGTATACTGCTACTCACACTTATACACTAAAAAAAACAAACCCTAACGCACAGCTACACCCTTATAGGTGACTCCTCGGCACAGCTTCCGCTTACTCCGACGAGCCGCTGCCGATCAGGCGCTGTCCGGGCTTCACACGCTGCGTGCCGGTGCCGCCGATGATGCGGGAGGGAGAGAGCACCTCAGCGAATGAAAGGCCGGCCGTCTCGGTGGCAAGCTTGCTCTGCACCCAGCCCCTGCCTCCGTCAACACCGTCCTTCACGATCCATGTGCTCTTGTAGCCGAGAGCGACCAGCGACTGCGCGACCAGCTTGGCGATGTCGCCGTTCCTGGAGGCAAGGGAAATCGACAGAGATTTCAGGATAGGCAGGACCTACTGAAAAATTGCAAGACGTGGTGGAAACTTGTGCAGGGTGTGCAGACATGGTTTTTAGTGTTGCTCGCGGTGTGTTTGGTTTCATTGTCAAGTATGCAAGATTCAGTGGACTTACGAGTCGATCAGGATGACGCGGGAGCCCTTGTTGAGGCGCTTCAGGGCAGCGATCTTGATCGCCGTGATGTCAGCCTCGACCTTGCGCGAGTTGCGGATCTGGCCACGAAGCTTGCCATCGACATCCTCAACACTGCAGGCAGGAACATAGCAAGGAGGGAAGCCATTGAATCAGCAACAGGTCTGAATGCAACAGCAACTCGAAAAGGAACCGGAAACTGGCGAGAAGTGAGCGACCAGGGACCAAAGAAAGACGAAGAGGGAAGGCATTGTTTAAATCGGAGCCAGACTTACGGGACGGTGACGAGCTTGGACTTGGCGTTGCGGGGCAGGGAAGGGGTTCCGGAGCGAGACCTCTGAGAGTCGGACCGAATGTCAACCAGAGTGTAGTCCTCCTTCGACAACAGATCGAGCGACTGAGCAGCGGTGAACTCTCCGGCGTAACCGCGAGCGGCATAGGCGATGGACCCGCCGAGAGCGGGAGCCAGGAGGTAGAGGAGCACGAGGCCTCCGGCCGCGACGGCGAGAACCGCTGGGTCTTGAGCGATCACGGTGTCGAAGGTGGCCTGAGCGTAGGGGGACGCGAGATCGATGGTCTTCTCGGTGACGTCACCGGCAACGCCGACGGCAGTCTGCAAGCAGTAAGAGAAAGCTTGGCTTTAGTCTGAGATGAACTTGAGAAGCTTCGCATGGCTTAGCACTAGTGCTTGAAGTTTGATCTCCAAATGCAAAGCAATCCAGTGGCTTCATTGATGGAGTGGACGATTCTGGTAAACTGTAAGAAGGAGAACAAATCAATTAAGAAAATTACCCTGGCTGCTGAAATAATGGGGTCGATCTCAACGCCGGAGTCGGAGAGAGCCTTGGTTGCCTGGTCAGAGAGCTCAGACGCCACAGGAGTAGCAGCATCGACGGCATACTTTGTCACGTCAATGACGACGGGAGTGGCCTTCTCCACGAAAGGCGAAGCGGCATCATACACTTGGCCAGTCACGTTCTTCACGACATCAAAGGCCTGAACGGCGGCGTCAGCAGCTTGTCGGGAGAAGTTTTCCACCTGGCAGTGGTGGACATAAGGACATTGGAGAAAAAACATTACATTTGAAACAGATTGAAGCACCGACGCTCACAATAGAATTATCATTGACATTCGGAAAAACGGCATCTTGAGCTGGATAAGACGGGTAATCCTAACTCGAGAAATGGGATACGGATCACTAAGCGATAGAAGTGTGACAGACGCAGGGCCAAGAATGGACTGACGGTAAGCTAAGGTGTCGAAATTGGTGGCGATATGCTTACCTGATCAAGCGCGTTCACGATCTGCTCAGCCTCCACGGCACGAGCTGCGCCAGCAGAGAACACGGAAGCACCAGCAACCGCAGCAGCGGCTGCGGCACGGTTGGTCTCGTGCTGTGAACGCACGGCAATGCGCCTGGCGTTCACATACTTGGCAGGGGATGCTGCCTTGAAGGCAGCAGGGACCTTGCCGGTGAATGCCGACTTGGTCTCCAAAGCAGCGAGGCTTGAGCTAGAGAGGACTGCAGAGGCCATTGTGAATGCGGTCGACAAGCTCTGTGCTCAAGGATCTCAAAAACTGCTGAGGAATGGCACAAGTGAACTCACAGAGGAATTCACAGAGAAATCAATGACTTTTTTCTTGAGTTTGAAATGAATTGCTGGTTTTAGTAGATGCTTGTATCCGTGGACTGATGGTGCAATCGAGGAGGGGAGGGGGGACTCTGCTCCGCATCAACGCAGATCCAGCGGACGGTTGCAGATGTGAGAGAAATTGGAGGAGGGAAAAGAAGTTTGCGCTATCCCAGCCCGGAGATCGCGGTCAGATTCAAATGCAGTGCATCTGAAGGTTCGGACACCTTCCCACCTCTAGTTGCCGCGTCGCGTCCATCCGGGCAGATACGGAACACTTTTTGGAGGCATGGAAGATGTGGGGTGTGGGTCTCGCAAAATGCTTCCTTGCTGACAGTCATCTCTGACGGCCCGCTTGATGCCTCCCCTCCAACAAAAGTGGAAACGCAGATCTCTGGGGCCTAGTGTGTACATTTTGGCGAAATTCTCGGGGGAGGGAACCTGACGGAAAAGTGGGTCTCGCAGGTTTCGCCACGTGGAAAAAAAGATCCTCCGAACCAGAAGCGATCCTGGGCTGGGGATGACACCCTGCGAGAGCAAGGGAGCCAGTGGCTGTTTGCCTTGCCACGAGGGGCTGGTTGGGTGGCTTGTGAAGGGAATGAATTGGGCCAAGAGAGCCACCCGCTGCCCATGTATTAGAGACAGCGTCTCAAAGCTTTCCAAACAAGTGCACCCTGTTTGGAGCCGAACCTATTAGGTTCGGCAGATGTAACAAGAACAGGTTGCTGGTCTGAGCTACAACCTGTATGTATTTAAAAAATGTTCATGATATGGATGGGTGCACACTTTAAGGCTCTCAGCCATACCATATGTTGTCCAAAGGCTTTTTTTTTTTTTACAAAGAGGTTAAGCTGTATGAAAACATTATCACATTGCAAACAAATACTTGGTGAACTGCCAATGGCTAAACGGATATGAAAAAACATCAATTTTTTCATGTATATATACTTATTCTTACTAGTCTATGTGCCTGAATGTCAATAGTCTAGGACACTAACTGCCATATTTTTGTATAGTTCATCAGTTGAGGTTTGTCCTCGTTTACTGTATATTCATCAATCTCCCTCATATTCTTGATTGCCCCATCATTTCATAGCCATCGTCACCTTTTGGCTGGTGTCTTCGAGATTCCTTGAACTTGCCCAACCTTGGACTTGCCACTCTCTTGCCGATCCGTGAACGCCTCGTCAGTTGTGATCTTTCCCGTTGGGCTGTTGCCGTGCCGTGAGCGTAGCTCCTCGTTTTTCACCCTGCATTCTTTGTTGCCGCTGATCCGAGGCAATCGCGACAATGTCTCCGAACACACCGCAAGAAGCGGACGTAGCGGCGCCTGCGGGTGATAAAGCCGTCAAGAGCATCCTTATCTACATGGGTATGCAGGGCACTTAATTCCATTCTCTTCCCACTTTCGTTTTTGTTTCTCGAGATTTTGTACGAGCCTATTTGTACGAGTCGCTTCTACCCTCCGAGTCGTTTGCTTGCCAAACGTCTTCAGCTCTCTTCACGACGAAGCGGGTGGGAGTCAGTATTGCTACTCGCTCTAGTGCTTCTAACACATTCTTTGTATGACTCCAGTCCTTTTTGTAATACGCGCAAGGTTTTCTTGGCCCCCTCCCGTAAAAGCTTATAGAATTTATTTACGTACTATCTTCCCGTATCGACATGTTATAGCTCCCCATCCGCTTTCCACTCCCGCATGCACCATTGTGTCATCTCCCGCGCCTGCGAGCAGCAATGGCGGCCGAGGCGGCGCCGCTGGTGAATAGCCTCGATCTGCAGCTGAAGGAGCACGACTCGTGAGTGCACGACCGCTCGTGTCTGATTTGTATATAGTCGATTGAGAACGCGAGACCTGGGTTCAGGAAAAACAACAGAGGATTGGGGTTCGCTGAGAGGAGAAATGGGGAGGATATGGTGGGTGAGGTTCTCTAGCTTAGTCGAACAATGTGGCCAGGGGAAGAATGCTGTAACACGGTTTGCATGTGGTCGCAGCCGTTTCCTGCTAGCTGAGTTGGAGCTTCAAGTTTCCCTCCCCACTCTCCTTCCCCTCTCCCCCTCCCCCCCCACCCTTCTCCCCCTCTCTCCCACCACCTCCCTTTCCCCCTCCCGCTCGCCCTTCCCGCAACCCCCCCTCTTCTCCGCGTGTCAGCTTCCCCGCAGGGTCCCCCTGGCAGCTGCACTCAGGATCGCATGCGGGAGTGAGCATCCACCTCGTCACGCCGGGCAAGGACAGGGCTCTAGGTACGTGGTGCGGTGCCTGTTGATGAGTCTGGATTAAGTCCCTTCATACGCGGCGGCAAGATGACCCTATGGGACATGACGAGGGGCGAAGGCGGGGAGGGACAGGGTTTGAGGGGGTTAGGGTTTCGGGGAACCTCGAAAAGGAAACCGGGCAAACTCGTACCCTGTCCTTTTTTTCCTGGGAGAAGGAGGGAATGATTAACTTCTTCCACCCCTCCCACTCTCGCTCACTCTCTCACCCCACATTTGCTCTCTCTTCCCACACCCTCTCGCTCGCCCCCTCTCTCACTGTCACGGGTGCTGCAGGGGTAGACAACGTGGGCACGGTGCCAGCAACAGTGGCAGTGTACGCAGCAGCAGCAGCCTCCCTGCGTCCAGATCTCACCCCACGCTTGCTCTCTCGCCCCACTTGCACTCTCTCACCCACCCCTCGCCACCTCGCCCCCCGCTCTCTCTCTCTCTCTCTCTCCCACGTGCACAGGAGTTGACAACGTGGGCACGGTGCCAGCAGCCGTGGCAGTGTACGCAGCAGCAGCCTCCCTACACCCTGACCTCACCCCACTCTTGCCTTCTCTCCCCACACTCGCTCTCTCGCCCCACTCTCTCTCTCTCTCTCAATCATGTGTACAGGAGTTGACAACGTGGGCACGGTGCCAGCAGCCGTGGCAGTGTATGCAGCAGCAGCCTCCCTGCACCCGGACCTCATCATCAACGCTGGCACTGCGGGCGGCTTCAAGGTGCGTGAGAGTTCAACGTGAGAGTTTAGCGCAAGCGGTCAGAGTAAGCGGGTCAAGGTCAGTCACTCACTTCCCTCCATGTCAGTCCTCCCTGTTGCAGCAGCAGCAGCCTCCCTGCACTCGGACCTCATCATCAATGCCGGCACAGCTGGCGGCTTCAAGGTGAGCGCACAACATCAATGGGATGGCTTGTCAAGGTCAGTTCCTTGGCAGCTGAAGGTGTGCAGCAGTAGCAGTGGAATATATCCCTCGTCTCCCCCCTTTCCCATGGCCCCTCCCCTTGTTCTGTCACAACATGCATCCATCCCATCTACCCTTTCTTGCCTTCTAAAACCCTTCTCACTCTCCTCCCTTCTCTCCCTCCATCCATCCCAGCCATCCACGTCTCTACGCCTGTTAAAAGCCATTGGCAAAATAAACACAGCTGGGTCCTCTTTCTTCCTCTTACCTTGTCGTCTATCCTGTCTCCTCTCCCCCGTCCGCACCCCTCTCTCCTTCCCTCGCTCCTCTGCTATCCTTTCTATTTTACTTCCCTCCCTCCTCTCCCCATCATGTCATGTCAACGGAATTGCCATTGGCAACGTGCACTCCCCTTTTTGTCATTGCGCCACGGTGCCACCACTCTCCTGCTTGTCTCAATCTCCTCTCCTCTCACCTCCGCGTTTCTCCCTCTGTGCTCTGCATGGCGTGCTATGCTATGCCATTTTGAGGTGCCGCAAACGTCGTGCTTTGTTTTGACTCCCTGTGCATCCCTCCCCGTTCCTCCCTCTGTGCCCCGCATGTCTGTCAGGCCAAGGGAGCGGCAATTGGCGATGTGTACGTGGCCTCGCACTTTGCCAACCATGATCGTCGCATCCCCCTTCCAGTAAGCTCCCCCTCCTTGATAGTAGACTAGACTCCCCCGCTGTTTTAATAAACATTTTCTTCCCTCCTAATAAGCTACACTACACATAATCATTTACAAGTGACGACGACAATGGTTTGCAAGCTGACATGAAATATCGCAGCCTTTTCCTCCTCCTTTCTCCTCTTTACCCTCTCCCTTCATTGATTCCTTTTCAGAGCGTTTCACGAGGAACGCGTTGGCTCGCTCTCCTTATCACCCCCCTCCTTTTCTCTACCCCCTCTTCTCCCATTCTCCTTGTTTACCCGTGCCGCACTCTCCTCTCCTCCTCCCCACTCTCCCTCGCTCCCCCGCTCCCCCACTTCCCCCACTCCCCCATTCCACCGCTCCCCTGTTCCCCGCCTCCCTTCTCTCTGCTCCCTTCCGCAACTCAAACCGCATCCCATTTCACTGCCCACTGCACCCCACTCCAATTCTCCCCACCCATCAGGGCTTTGACGAGTACGGCATTGGCCTTATCGAGTCCCCACATGCCTCTCGCGTTGCCTCCGCCCTGGGCTTCAAGGTCAGTACACATATCTGCCTGGTCATGCTTTGCTTTGCATAGCTTCACGAGTTACAGAGACACAAAGCTAGCAGCGGCAACATTTGTACAGTCTCCCCCCGCTCCCCCTCTCCCCTTCGCTCCCCTTTTCCTCGCTCCCTTTCTCCTCATTTCCCCTTCTCCCCTGCTCTTATTTCCTCTCCCGTCCCATCTTTTCCCCCCAACCACCTTTCCTCTGCCGTCCCACCCTCCCTGTTGCTCGTTATTCTCGATTTCTCACAACCTTGCCACCACAACCCAGGTGGGGCGAGTGTCGAGTGGAAACTCGTTGGACATGAGTGCAGAGGACGAGAAGCTCCACCAGCCCATCCCTTCCCCCCTCCCATCTTCCCATCTTCGCAACCCCCCTCCCTTCGTCTGGTTGTTTCGCACAGGTGGGGCGAGTGTCAAGTGGCAACTCGCTGGACATGAGTGCAGAGGACGAGAAGCTCATTGCTAAGAATGACGCCACTGTCAAGGACATGGAGGTGAGACACACAGTTGGGGGGAGGGGGGGGGGGGGGGGGGGGGGGGGATGCTGTTGCCTGTGTTGGACACGAGTGCGGAGGACGAGAAGCTCATTGCTAAGAATGACGCCACCGTCAAGGACATGGAGGTGAGACACACAGTTGGGGGGGGGCGGCACGCTGTTACCCTGTGTTGGACATGAGTGCAGAGGACGAGAGGCTGATTGCTAAGAACGACGCCACTGTCAAGGACATGGAGGTGAGACGTGTTGAAGTGACACTTGGAGTGACACATAGAGTGACACGTGGAGTGATCTGCATGTTGATGCATGGAGGTGAGACACGCAGGGGGTTGCTGCTGCGTCTGCTGTCAACAGGTGCCTCCCCTATCAAATCCTTATCGTTTCAGCCCTAAAATTTTTTAGAACACTCATAAACAGATGTTTCCTCCTCAATACTCCCCTTTCTATCCCTTCCCCGTCCCCAACTTCTACCCCCAATTTCCCCAATTCCATTCCTTCATACGCCCCTCATATCCCTTCGGTCCCCCCAGATTATACACCCTTACGCCGTCTATCCTCCCCCATACTCCTCCCCTCCCTTTTACCCCTCCATCAACTCGCAGGCAGCGGCGGTGGCGTGGGTGGCGGCGCTGCTGTCCCTGCCGCTGCTCTCAGTGAAGGCGGTGACAGACATAGTGGATGGGGACCGCCCCACCACCGAGGAGTTCCTTGAGAACCTGCACACCGCTGCTGACGCTCTGCAGCATGCCGTGCCGAAGGTGGTGGCGCTGGTGGAAGGAAAGAGGCTGGTGGAGTTGTGAAGAATGGTGTGACGGTTCTGATATAGGGGGCTTCACTAGAGAGGAGCACATGCATGGGATGGATTCTAAGCATGGAACAAACGAGAGAAATATGTTTGCTGTGCTGTAATTATACCGGTGCGGAAGTGTAGTTAATTATTTGCTGAGTGAACTGGAAACCAAATTACCGTACTAACAATAACAATCACGGTAGTATATTAACAAACATGTAGGCACACACACACACACAGAAGTAATGTAAGCAACAGGTTCTGTAAAGCAAGCAACAAGGAAAAAAAACTAAGGAAACGGGATTGCCAAACCTGCCAGTCCAGTTTAACCTTTCCCAAAACGACTTGCTCAATAGAATGCATAACACAATCTTTGCCAACTTCAGATGTTCTTTTGAAGGTGCCTCCAAAGGTCAGGTCTTGAGAATGGAAGGAGAAAAACAATTCTTGAAAGTAAACTGAAAGAGGGGCCCAGCAGCCCCGCTGCAAGCACCAGCGGCCCCTCGCCTTCCCCCATTCACTCACCTCTCCCCCATACCTCTCCCTCTCCCCCCTCCCTTCCCATCCCCCTCTCACCACAGTGCTTCAGCACCATCCTCCTCCCCCAGTCTCCTCCCAGCGTCCTCTATCGCCCCCACCACCCGGCCCGCCTTGGCCAGCGCACTCGCAACCAGCAGCTGAGACGCTACGATCCCCGATCCCAACCCCACACCGATGAACATCGCTGCACGCGGACGGTAGAAGGAGAGACCCAGCAGCCCCGCTGCTATCACCAGCGGCCCTAGCTTCGGAGGAGAAGGGAACTCGGAGAAGTCGGGACGGCCGTTGGGTTTCACGGGAGGGGTAGCTTCGGCTGCGGTGCGAAAGGAATCGGTTATCGGGAAGGTGAAACGGGGCTCGTCGGGGCTGGTTGCGTTGTCGGGGGAAGAGGAAGAGGAGGAGGAGGAGGGGAGATCGGGGGAGATTTGGCGGGAGATGCTGGGGGGGAGGAGGTAGGAGATGACTTCCATGCGAGAGGAGGGGGAGAGAGCGTCGTTCCAGCGGTGGGTGATGCCGGGGATGTGGCCTGCTCCCACCACGGCTACTGTCGGGCCGATTGCCGTGCACTTGCGAATGTTCTGAAAGGAGGGGCGAGTGGGGAAAGAGGAAAGAGGAAAGGGTTATGACCTGACCACCTGAGCCAACAGAACCACGTGCCGCAAGAGGCAGAAAACGAGCAAGATAAGTCTCCATGCGAGCTCCTCTGGTCTCAACGAGCTTCTCTGATAGTCGCACCTGGGCGAGCGAGAATGAGATATCTCTCAGCCACGATGGCTGACGGCAAGGGTATATAAAGAGTCTAGCACGCACAAAGAGCATATCGAGAGACGTACCTGGGCGAGGATGAGGTCCCTCTCTGTGACAATGGCAGGAGGCAGGTCGGTGTCTATGGCACTTCGCACCACTGCTTCCATCGGAACTCTCTCCCTCACATGCCGCCTGGGACACCACGGGCTCACACTGCCCTGCCTGCTCTGGTTGTTCCGACTGCTCTGAGTGCTATGGTTTATCATGACGTTCTGACATCCTCACTGGGACCCCGCTGCTGCCCCAACCTCTCCAACGCTCCCTCAAAAACAACCTCATCTTGAGGCGCCCTGAACACAAGAAACAATGGCTATCAGGGGCGTACCTGGGCGAGGATCAAGTCTCTCTCAGAGACAATGGCAGGAGGCAGGTCGGTGTCTATGGCACTCCGCACCACCGCCTCCATCGGCACCCGCTCCCTCACATGCCGCCTGGGACACCACGGGCTCACACCGCCCTGGCTTGTCTGAGACCCTCCTTGCGACGCTGCTGCCCCAACCTCTCCGATGCTCCCTCCGGCAGGAGTATCAGCAGGAGCAGAGAGAGGAGAGGGAGGGGTGAAGGCGGCGGCGGCGGCGGGGGGAAGGAGGGAGTGGTGGATGGCGGAGTGGCGGAAGGTTTCGACGACCCGGCGGCCGCAGGAGCGCACACGGCGAAAGTCGTCAATTGGGATCTCCTTGCCTGGTGAGAAGAGGGCGAGGGAGGGGGGAGGAGAGGAGAGGAGAGGAGGAGTGGGAAACCTGAGAGAGGGAGACGCGTGGGAGTGGTCTATAGAGACTGCAGCACGACCGCACGTGGCGAAATTTGCAGGGCAGTGGCTGGCTTGGGGCAGGGGGCAGGAGGGAGTGGTGGATGGCGTAGTGGCGGAAGGTTTCGACGACCCGGCGGCCGCAGGAGCGTATTTTGAGGCTGAGGCGCCTCAAAATACACCTCAATGCACATGGCTGAGTGGCGGAAGGTTTCGACAACCCGGCGGCCGCAGGAGCGCACACGACGAAATTCATCAACGGGGATCTCCTTGCCTGGAGGGGAGGGAGCGATAGAAAGGGGGGAGAGTGGGGCAAGGGAGACCTGAGAGAAGGAGACGCGCAGGTGTGGTCCATAGGGGAAGCAGCACAACCACACGCGGCGAACATCGCAGGGCGGCGACAGCACGGGGCAGGAGGGAGTGGTGGATGGCTGAGTGGCAGAAGGTTTCGACAACCCGGCGGCCGCAGGAGCGCACACGACGAAAGTCGTCAATAGGGATCTCCTTGCCTGGTGAGGAGGGCGAGAGAGTGGAAAGAGAGAGACGTGAGGATGGCCTGTAGGGAATGACGCAGGAGCGCACACGGAGAAAGTCATGAATAGGGATCTCCTTGCCTGGTGAAGAGAGGTGAGCAAGGGGAGAGTGATGAGGAGAGGGAGGGAGGAGAGGGAGACTGAATGAGCACCTTTGATGGCGGTGAGGAGGACAGTGACGAATGAGCACCTTTAAAAATAACGATTCTCAAGGCGCGTCTATACTCGCACCTTCGACACCTCTGAGGCCTCGTTGTGCACGTTCAAGGGCGGTGGCGGTGGTGGGGCTGTGAAGAAGAGTGAATCGAAGGTGATTGGTACAGCAGCCTGCACGCGATTCCGCACTCGCATACTCACCCCCCGAGGCCTCGTTGTGCAGCTTTGAAGTTGGAAGGCAGCAGCAAAGAGAGCACCTGTGAAGGCCGTGGCGAGGACAGTGACGAATGAGTCGAAAGTGGCTGCTGGCTCTTCGCACCCAGCGAGCTGACTTTCAAGTCCTTAACCACAAAGGATCTGTGACAACAGAACCACTAAAGAACCCGCACCTTTGAATGCGGTGGCGAGGACGGTGACGAATGAGTCGAAAGTGGCTGCTGGCTCTTCGCACCCGGCGTCCCTCGCCCTCTGCACCATCTGCCGCTTCACCCGCTCAAAGCGCGCCTTGCGCCCCTCCTTGCTGCCACGCTCCTCTGGGGAGTGGAGGGAAGATGGAAAGAGGGAATGGAGGGCAGGGAATGAAGGGGAGAAAGGGAAGAAAGAGAAGAGAGAAGAATATTGCCCACTGCACCATCTGCATCTTCACCCGCTCAAAGCGCGCCTTGCGCCCCTCCCTGCTGCCATGCTCCTCAGCATGTGGTGGAGTGGAGTGGAGATGGGAAGAAGGAATGGAGGGAAGGGAAGGGAAGGGCAAGGAGGGCAAGGAGGGCAAGGAGGGCAAGGAGGGCAAGGGGGGCAAGGGGGGCAAGGAGGGCAAGGAGGGCAAGGGGGGCAAGGGGGGCAAGGAGGGCAAGGAGGGCAAGGAGGGCAAGGAGGGCAAGGAGGGCAAGGAGGGCAAGGGGGGCAAGGGGGGCAAGGAGGGCAAGGAGGGCAAGGGGGGCAAGGGGGGCAAGGAGGGCAAGGAGGGCAAGGAGGGCAAGGAGGGCAAGGAGGGCAAGGAGGGCAAGGAGGGCAAGGAGGGCAAGGAGGGCAAGGAGGGCAAGGAGGGCAAGGAGGGCAAGGGGGGCAAGGGGGGCAAGGGGGGCAAGGAGGGCAAGGGGGGCAAGGGGGGCAAGGAGGGCAAAGGGGGCAAGGGGGGCAAGGAGGGCAAGGGGGGCAAGGGGGGCAAGGGGGGCAAGGGGGGCAAGGAGGGCAAGGGGGGCAAGGGGGGCAAGGAGGGCAAGGAAAGACAACTATGTTGTTGGAGTTGCTGTTGAGAACTCCCACAAGCAACTCCAGACGATTTTTGAGGGGCGTCAAAAAGGAAAGACAGCTATGATGTTGGAGCGTTGCATTTGAAAACTCCCATAAGCAACTCCAGGGAAAAGGCAGGCAGTACACGATAAGGGGATAAGGCTCACCGATGGGAGGAGGAGATGAGGGGATAAGGAGGCTCACCGATGGGAGGAGGAGATGAGGGAATTCGGCGAGTCTGGTCGATGAGTCGAATGAGCGTGAGGAAGGAGGACCTGTGAGGAAACGCGAGGGTTTGTGATGACAGGTTACAAGAGGATAGGAACTGTTAGAACTTTGAGACGTCTCAAATAGTGGCAAACGTAAAAGAGCACACTGGAATAGAAGTTCAGATGGCATCAATTTGCAAGGAAACGGGAGCAGTGGAGAGGAGAGAAGAAAAGGGACGGGAAGGGCCGAGAAGGGAATCGAAGAAAGAAAAAGAAAGGCCCAACGATAGCACAAGGCAGAAACGTAGGGGAAAGGGGAGGAGAGGAGGAGAGAGGAGAGGAGGGGTGAGGACAGAGAGGATGGGAGAGGAGGGGAGTGCAAGGCGTGAGCAGGCACCTATCGACGAGCGCCACGCGCACACCAGAGTCCTCAGCCACCTTGACTGCTGTCATCATGTCATACCCGTATGGCACTCCCAAGAGCTGCCAGCACATGTGGTTACAGTGTGGGGCGGGGAGAGGGGGGGCACACACGCACATCAGAGTCCTGGTGATAGACAGATGCACGCCAGAGTCCTCGGCCACCTTGACTGCTGTCATCATGTCATACCCGTATGGCACTCCCAAGAGCTGTGGGGAGGGGAGGGGGTGGGGGTGAGGGAGTGTGGGAGGGGGGGCATTCTGAGTCCTATACACACACAGCAAAGTCCTGGTGACACATGCACGCCTGAGTCCTCGGCGACCTTGACTGCTGTCATCATGTCATAGCCGTATGGCACTCCCAACAGCTGCGGGGGGAGGGGGGACGGGGAGGGGGGATGGGGAGGGGGGATAAGGAGGGGGGATAAGGAGGGGGGCAGCCTGAGTCCCGAACGCACAGCCTGGTATCAGCACCACCTGTGTTTTTTGAGAATTCTCAAAAAACAGCCTGGTATCAGCACCACCCACACCCTCGCCACGCCAAACCCTCATCCCTACCCACACCACCCACGCCCCACCCACACCCCAAACCACATTCAAGCCACGTTTCATGCACAGCAGAGACGAAGACCTCATCACACACCACCACACCATACCCCACCACCAAAGCCACGGCCCACGTACAGCGGAGACGAAGCTGCCCTGCAGGTTGAAGAAGAGCGAGAGTGACCCCATCTTGGCCGAATACATGGCCCTCAAACGCCTGGGGGGATGAGGAGAGGGAGGGGAGACGCACGCACACACGCACACACGTGCACAAACACACAAACAGTGCAGCATTTGTACTGTAAGCGAGGAAGAGCGAGAGCGACCCCATCTTGGCCGAATACATGGCCCTCAGCGCCTGGGGGGAAGGGTGCGGAGGGGGGAGGGGGCACACACGCACAGTGCAAACCTTCTACTGTGAGCGAAGAAGAGCGAGAGTGACCCCATCTTGGCCGAATACATGGCCCTCAGCGCCTGGGAGGAGGGGGGCGAAGGGATACACACACATTCACGCACGCACGCACGCACGCACGCACGCACACACACACACAGGCACACACAGTGCGAAAATTGTGCTGTGAACGAAGAGTGAACGAAGAAGAGCGAGAGCGACCCCATCTCGGCCGAATACATGGTCCTCAGCGCCTGGGGGGGGTGGGGAGGAGGGGCAACGGCTCAAATTGGCGTGGGGAAGCGGGGGAAAGGGGGGGGAAAGAGCAGCGGAAGGGGTTAGGAAAGTGGATGGGGGAAAGGGGAAACGGCATTGGTAGGGAGCTAGTCTAGAACTCTAGACGCCGGAACTATTTATCCCTAGAGTATGACTCTAACAAACGGATCCAATCGGATTTCCGCCTGCAGGAGCAACCGCTGCTGCAGTCGCCACCCCTGCAGTCGCCACCCCTGCAGTCGCCACCCCTGCAGTCGCCACCCCTGCAGTCGCCACCCCTGCAGTCGCCACCCGTCCCAGAGTCACTCCTACTGACGATTGTGTTGGAAGGAAACGGTGGTGGGGCGGTGGTATGCCCCCAACCCACCGAGGGCACTTCGGTGCCTTCGATCCCTTTGACTAGGGATCGGTGGGGTGGCACCGATTGACTTCGGGAGACTCACCCTTCGGTGCCACGTGGCGGCACCACATTCCAACCTTCAAGTGCAAGGCGAATTCGGTGTGTTCGGTGTGAAATTCGGTGGTCGAATTTCACCCCAACCGAAATGTTACACGCGGCGCATTCGCGACGCGAGTGTAGCGATGTGATGTTACATGTGCGGTTCGATGTAATGCATTTGCTATAAATCGACCTGCCTTGTATGCATGCTTTATACTGAAATCCTGAATCTTTTTGTACATGGTCCATTCGAACCAAAATTCCAGAGAGGTCTATCCTTGCTTCTAAGAGCACTAGCAATCACGTGAACGCCAATATCTCGGCGTATACTTGGGCGATTAACGTGTTTGACGGCTTGTTGGAAAGCCAAGACTGTGCTCTATCGTTTAGTGCAACTTAGAGTTCCTGCAAAGTAGAGGAGACGCCTCTACAACAGTGGTATCAGAGCTGGTCGGTAGAGTCTACGTGCGCGACTTGTAGCAAGCATGATGACGTCAAGCGAAACCTCCGGCACTTCCTTAGGTGGTGTCGTCTCGAATCCCGGTGAACCCTGGACAAACGCGACGGTGTTCGACACGTCGGCGGTTCCGATTTTCACGGGACAAAACTACTCCGCGTGGAAATTTAAGTTCCAAGTGCTCATGATGGAGCGGGGACTTTGGGGTCTCTTCGACGGAACGGAGAAAAAGCCGGTCAACGAGGACGAGATCGCGGCATGGAAGAAGAAGGACCAAAAGGCGTTCGCAACGTTGATTTCGCGCATCGGCATCAACCTCGTGAGTTCGGTGCGCACGTGCATCAAGCTCGAAGCTTCGGCGCGTGAAGCATGGAAGCGGCTCGAGACGATGCACGTGAACAAGACTCTCCACGGCAAGATCCTAGCCCGAAATGCGTTCTACACGGTGAAGTTGCGCGCGGGCGAATCGATGCACGAGTATGCGACTCGTGTGGAGGAACTCGGGGAAACGTTCATGGACCTCGGTGGAACGGTCACGGAGGAGGATTGGATTCTCACCTTGCTTTGCGGCCTTCCGGAAGAGTGGTCGACGGTGATTACGACACTCGATAGCGTGCAAAACACTTGGACGAAGGAAATGGTGGTCGGTCGGCTTCTCCATGAAGAATCGCGACGCCGACAATTCGCTAACAAGAGCGTGGAGACCGCCATGTTCTCCGGAGGGAGCTCCGGAAAGAAGTCCAAGTGGAGCAACGGTGAGGCAAAGAAGTCGTCCGGTGGAAACGGTCGCGGCAAGGGCAACGCATCGAACGGTTCGAGCAAGTGTCATTATTGTCGCAAAGCGGGGCACTTTTGGCGTGAATGTCGGAAGCGGCCGAGCGATTGGATTCCATCGAAGGCGCGGAACCAAGAGTGCAACGCGCACACGGCATCCGGCGAGGCGGATGATTCAACGGAGTCGCTCGTTTTGTTGGCCGGTGACGGGATCAACACTTCAAACGACGCGTGGTTCCTCGACACCGGTGCAACACAACACATGACGCACTCGGCGTCGCTCCTCAACAACGTCGGTGCTCCGGGAGACGTCAAGCGCGTCGTCTTCGGGAACGATAAATCGCTACCGGTGGTTGGAGTTGGGAGTACGCGTCTCATCGTCGATGGCGGGCCGGTGGACATCACGAACGTGCTTCACGTCCCGGGATTGAAGGTGAATCTACTCTCCGTCACTCAACTCGCAAAGAAAGACGTGAAGGTCACCATCGATGGCGCGAAGATGAACCTCTTTTGGAAGGGGAAGCAATTCGCGCAAGGCGTTCTCAACGGACAACTCTACCAACTCAAGACGCATCCGACAACGGCCTCATCCAACGTGGCGCAAGGCTCCAAGGCGACTCTCAAAATGTGGCATAATCGGCTTGCGCACGCCAACTACGACTCGGTCAAAGAGTTGGCCAACAAAGGACTTGCGAAGGGATTTGACGTGATCGCCGGCAACGACGAGAAGGGCGTGTGCGCGGCGTGTGTCGAAGGAAAAATGGCTCGCAAGCCATTTGGTAGCCGTACCTCACCCCTCGCAAAGGACCCGCTTGCGCTTGTTCACATGGACGTGTGTGGACCGATGCGGCATGCATCAAAGGGAGGAGGTTCCTCTTAATGATGCTCGACGACGCGACGCGGATGAGTTGGACCCGACTCTTGAAGGCTAAGGGAGATGCGGCCAAGGCGATTCAAGAGTGGGCGCTCGACGTTTGCGACGACGGCAAGAAGCGGATCAAGTGCATTCGCACCGACGGTGGTGGCGAATTCGTGAGCAACGAGCTTGAAAAATGGATGAAAAGCAAGGGCATTAAGCACGACGTCACGACACCCTACACACCCCAACAAAATGGAGCGGTAGAGCGGCTCAATCGCACATTGATGGAGGCCGTTCGTTCACTTCTTCAACACTCCAAGCTTGGGAACGAGTGGTGGGGAGAGGCGAGTGCGCTAGCGGCATGGATTCGTAATCGTGTGCCAACAAAGGTGCTACCGGGAACGACTCCGTTCGAAGCATGGACCGGAACGAAGCCGAACCTATACCGCCTATGCACCTTTGGGTGCCTTTGCTACTACCATGTACCGGATCCACTTCGCCACAAGTTGCAACCGAAAGCTCGTGCGGCGATCTACTTGGAAATTGCAGCGAACGAGCGTGCATGGCGAGTGTGGGATTTGGATGAAAAACGTGTCGTCACGTCTCGGGATGTGATCTTCGACGAAGACAAGTTCCCGACAAAGGAGAAACAAACGCCGCAACTCACCGTCGTCTTTCCCGCACGAGAGGAGGATGAAGCGGTGGAGGTTTCACCGCACGTGAAGAAGGGAGCCGAAAGTGGAGGGGGAGAGAACGAGGAGTGCGATGATGATGTCGAGGAGGTGCCACCAACCAAGGAGGCCACTTCCTCCGCACCTTCTTCCCTACCATTGGCGTTGACTCGCGGGCGTCGTACACCTCGCCCCAACACGAGGTTAACCGACTATGCTACGGTCGCCGTTGGGGAGTCGGATGAGGAGAGTGCGGCGATTTGCCTAGCGACCATCGGCGACGATAACCCACGCACTCACAAGGAGGCTTTGGCTTCCCCGGATGCACCGCTATGGAAGCAAGCGATGGAGAGGGAGTTAGCATCGATCAAGGAGAACGATGTTTTCGAGCTCGTCGACCCGCCGAAGGGTGCCTACTTGGTGGGATGCAAGTGGGTGCTTAGGAAGAAATTGGGAGCCGATGGAGGTGTCGAACGCTACAAGGCGCGGCTTGTGGCGCAAGGGTACACTCAACGGGAGGGGGAGCACTATAGTGAGACCTTCGCTCCCGTTTCGAAGGCCTCCACTCTTCGGGTGTTGCTCGCGCTAACGGCATCTCTCAACCTCGAGCTGGAACAATTGGACGTTTGCACCGCCTTCCTCTACGGGCTTCTCATGGAAGAAGTCTACATGCGGCAACCCCCGGGGTACGATGACGGTAGCGGTCGGGTGTGGAAGCTCAAGCGTACCCTCTATGGCTTGAAGCAAAGCCCACGCGGATGGTACAAGCGCATCGACGACTTTCTTCTTCAACACGGCTTCGCGCGTAGCGTGTGTGATAGCGCTTTGTACGTGTTGAAGGAGGGGGAGAAACAATTGGTGCTTTTGCTCTACGTCGATGACCTCCTTCTTTTCTCCGACTCCAAAGACCTCATTCGAGAGGTCAAGCAACGGCTAGGGGCGGAGTTTGCCATGAGGGACCATTCACCTCCACCAAGAAAAATATGTGAAAGGGGTTGTGGAGCGCTTCGGCATGGGTAATAGCAACCCGGTGGGGACGCCACTAGACACGGGATTTTCTTGCCTCCCGGGAGAGGAAGAATCCGCCCTCGACGAAGCCGAAGGGAAGCGGTTTCATTCGCTAGTCGGCTCACTCATGTATGCCGCCGTTTCCACCCGTCCCGACCTCTCATACGCCGCCGGGGTACTTGGACGAGCAGTAAGCAACCCTCATACCGAGCATGTGCGTGCGGGAGGACGTGTTCTACGCTACCTCCAAGGCACACCCAACTTGGGAATCGTATATGAAGCTGGTCCAATCGTGCTTAAGGGCTACACCGACTCGGATTATGCCGGTGATCAAAGCAAGCGCAAGAGTACCGGCGGGTACGTCTTCACCTTGCTTGGGGGAGCCGTGAGTTGGCAAAGCAAGTTGCAACCAACCGTGGCTCTAAGCACAACGGAAGCGGAGTATATGGCACTCACTCAAGGAGCCATGGAGGCAATATGGCTACGGCGCCTTCTAGCGGAGCTTGGGCATCCTCAAGCCGACCCAACTCCTCTCTTTTGTGACAACCAAGCGGCCATAAACCTCACTCACAATGCCGTCCTTCACGGGCGTACCAAGCACATTGAGGTGAAGCATCACTTCATTCGTGAGGTGGTCGAGAGAGGTGAGGTCAAGGTCACATACATAAGCACCAAGGCGCAACCCGCGGATTTCCTCACTAAACCACTCCCTAAGGATTCATTCCGTGCATGCCATGAGGGTGTTGGTATGAACACCTAGTGGCTTGGGTGCAAGGGGGAGTGTTGGAAGGAAACGGTGGTGGGGCGGTGGTATGCCCCCAACCCACCGAGGGCACTTCGGTGCCTTCGATCCCTTTGACTAGGGATCGGTGGGGTGGCACCGATTGACTTTGGGAGACTCACCCTTCGGTGCCACGTGACGGCACCACATTCCAACCTTCAAGTGCAAGGCGAATTCGGTGTGTTCGGTGTGAAATTCGGTGGTCGAATTTCACCCCAACCGAAATGTTACACGCGGCGCATTCGCGACGCGAGTGTAGCGATGTGATGTTACATGTGCGGTTCGATGTAATGCATTTGCTATAAATCGACCTGCCTTGTATGCATGCTTTATACTGAAATCCTGAATCTTCTTGTACATGGTCCATTCGAACCAAAATTCCAGAGAGGTCTATCCTTGCTTCTAAGAGCACTAGCAATCACGTGAACGCCAATATCTCGGCGTATACTTGGGCGATTAACGTGTTTGACGGCTTGTTGGAAAGCCAAGACCGTGCTCTATCGTTTAGTGCAACTTAGAGTTCCTGCAAAGTAGAGGAGACGCCTCTACAACAGATTGAACTCGGACTAGAATCACTTATCACTCCCTGACAATCCTCTCGGTACCCACGCCCCCACCACACTCACGGCCCGCCCACCTTACAAAGCTCACCTTAAAGACCGTCTTGGGCGGGTCGCTGGGCCCGTCGCCCGCGAGGATCGCCATGATGTTCTTGAGCCGCTCGCGGTCCAGCTGGGGGGTGCATAATGCAATGAACGCAAGGAGGATGAGGAATGCGCATTCTTCATAAGTTAACTCGTTAGCATCCCCGCCTCACATCAATGTGAATCCACGTCTTCTCTTGTTAAACATTTCACATGATAGCGCACATTTACGTGTTCCCACAATGTACATTCTTCTTCATCCCCGGACGTTCCTAAGACGTACCTCCATAGCAAGAATCTCCGGTTGAACCGCCGACACCACGCGCTCCACGTCCAAACCTGCCTGCTTCGACACGTGTGCCGAGCCTACGATGTAGGCTCGGTGGCCCGTGCCGGGATCACCAGATTCTCCGCCGTCTCCGGCGGCAGGTTCAATCCCGCGTCCTTTCCGCTAATGAGCACCGCAGGCGGCTCGCCGTTACTATTGGTCTCCGATCCTGCGGGGATCGCAGCGTCGCCGTTGGTTGCGGCGGGATCGTTTGCCCATGGCTCCGCATCTCCCGAGTTGGAATCCAGCAGTCCGTTAGCCATGGAAAAAAAAAAAATCGAAATCTACGATCGACGAGGATTGGGTCCTGAATGTAAATGTAAAATCCACGTGCAAGCCAATGACGTGGAAGGTAATGACGTGACGACCTCTTGTACGATGTTATGGAAGTTGAAAAGTACGAAAAGCTAGGAAATTAACGCGTGTCGCGAAAGTGGAGATAGGGGCTAATTCATTTAGAGGCAGGAGAAGCTGAATCGGGAAGAAGTGGGTGACTGTGTGTGGTAACCCTTTAGCGAATGCACGCATGCCAATGCTGCTGTGTGCTTCCACAGGCAGAAGTTGCTGTGTGGTGGTCCTTTTCGCGATCAACGAAGTCCAAGCGACGTAATCGCAGATTATCATGCAACGAATAGCGGAGTGTGTTTGGGCCAAGTTGGTTTTGCTCTTGCTTGCACGCAAGCTTCGAAGCTGGCGGGAATGTGCACGATCTGAGGTGGCGTGCTTGAGGATGAGGTGGAACTGAAAGGCAGGCGAGGTGTAGAGATGTAGCAATAATTACGTGATAACCATCTTGTGTCTATTGTCAATTACATTGCTTTTCAAGGTCATAACCAGCTTGTAAGTATACAATTTCTCATACATTGATTCAGAGTGCATTGCGCCCGAGAAATTTAATGCTGTTGGGAGACTTAATTGCCCAAGCAAGTTGAATATGTGGCCTTTCTATTAGTATTCGTCCCTTCGAATTCGTTTTAAATTATTTTCGTTTCTCGTTTCATGTGCTGTAGCTCGTTTGGTTCTTGCCTCGCGTTCCCTTATCCTGACACGTCGCCAAGTCTCCTTTCCCCGTCGCCCTCGCTTTCCCCATCGCGCCGCGACCAGCAGCCACAAATGTTTCGACGAATTTTGCTCTCGACACATTTGACATTGACAACAGCCCTCGCATATCACGTCACTCTTCCGACTTCGGCCCACCCGCCCCCACTTCACTCCTGCTGCTTCGTCTTGCTAGTCAGCAGTCAGCTAGGCAGTCGCCATCCCTCGCTTTTCTCGCCCTATTTCTATATATATTGGAACAGGGGTGGAGTGATTTTTATGCCCCTGTTGAATTGTCGAAGGTCTCGGCTCCGAACCAACCTTGATCTTTTCAGAGGCCGCCACAATATCAGTCCGTGTACGCATTTGCAACGCTTTGACCTTAATTCTTCCTGGGCCTTGCGATATAACAAGGGGTTCCGATCACATCAAATTTGATTGCCGAAAAAATTGCCGCATGGCGATCACAGAGGCTACACGCGCGGAAAATCCAGTAGTAGGTCCCATTACTCTGGAAGGCACGTCCGTCATCATGAATTGCTGCAGCCGCAGCAGCAACAACAGCGGCGGGGGAACGGAGTTCTCCAGCGAGGATTGGTCCATCAGAACGAGCTTCGACGCTGACGCTAACGCTAACGCTAACGTCAATGCAGCAGCAGCAGCAGCAGCTTCTGAATCGTCCAACTCCACCAACAGTGGTGGCATTCAAGGCAATGGTGGCTCCGCAAGTACCTCGACCCCCGTTTCCCCAGCCACTTCAGCGACGGCCGCCGCCATCGCCGCGGCCACCGCGTCGCCAACATGGGAGGACGACCTTCAGGCGCAGATGCAGGAGTGGTTCCGCGATTCCGATTGGGTGGACGAGCCGCCGTAGATCGCGGTGACCATGGGCTCCGGCGCAGTCTGCCAGCTGGACTGCACCGCCACCGTGGCGCTTCCGCCGGACGCGGTCTTTAATGTCGTCCGAGACCCGCATAATCGGCGCGTCTTCAAGAATGTCAAGGTGAAAGGCGGTGCTGTTCTCGTGGTCTGTTCTTGAGGCGCCTCCTAGAATGTCAAGGTTAGCTCTAGGCTTTTATCGTTTTCCTCACTTTCATTCTCGCCGTAACCACTCAACACCCGCCATTCTCGTCGCGTTTCCTTTCTTTCTTGTTTCTGATCCATGAAAACTCTCTCCCACCCCCTCTCTACCCCACCACTCCCTCTCCTTGAGCGTCTCCCGACGCGTATCCTCGTTCCGCGACCTCTCTCCGCTGCTCTCATCTCAGTCCGTGAGAGACGTGCGAGTGGTGAGCGACGACGGCGACGTGCAGCACGTGGAGATGAACATGGCGTTCCTCTGGCGCCTGCCCGCCATCTCCGGCACCTTCACCGCGCACGTTCTCATGATCCAGGACCGTCCCAACCGCATGGTCTGTTTATCGCTGCGAATGCATCTGATTCGTTCGTCCGTTGCATATAAATCTTCTGGTTTCCCGACTCCTAAACCCCTAAGCGCTCTGCAGGAGTCCTAAGGGCAAATATTCCTGCCAAGTCTGATGCTGACGTCTCCGCTTTCTGTTAGACAAAACACCCGCATCCCTTCGTTCCACAAACCTCACCTTTCTTCCTGCCTGTCTCTCTGCCTGACTCCCTCTTGTCCCTCCGTATCCGTCTCACCTTCGTACCATATCCCAGCTCTCGTACGAGCTCACGCGACCCGGATTCATGAAGAAATTCCAGGGCTTCTGGAAGGTCGAGCCGCTCGTCGTGCCCTCGTCCTCCTCCATCTGCGGCGCAGACGAGGGCGATGATCGCTGCAGCGATGACTCTAGCTCGAGCAGCAAACCCAACGATCCCAGCAATATCAGTAAAAGCAACAGCCATGACAGCACAAACAGCAGTAGTAGCAGCGACAAGCCCGTCAATGGCAACGATCCGTCTCAGAGCCCAATCAGCATTCTTAGCTATGATAGTTGCCCGGATCTCCTTGCTTTCGCAAAAACCGCAGAGGCTGCAGGAACCACGTCAGTACTCGCCGCGCCGACTGACGCATGCCCTGGATCGGCGACTAAGTCCCACGATGTTTCGACGGAAGGAGCGTCGTCCGCTGCGGCGGTTGCATCAGGTGCGGTAGCAGCAGAAGCAGGAGGAGAGGTGTCACCAGCGCCATCGGCAGCGGCGAAGCGCGTCGCGTCTCGCATCGTGCTGCATCAGACCGTACAGCCCTCCGTGGCGCCTCCCCCGGTTTTCCGCAAGTGCCTCAAGGGAATCCTGCAAACCGCAACGCGCGACATGCTCGAGGATTTCCAATCTGAGGCGGCGCTGATCCGCTGCGGCCGTGGCGAGCGGCTCGGAGAGACAGAGGAGGGAGGTAAAGAGGCCCAGATAGCGCGGGAACGAGCCGGAAGTAACCTAGATGTGTATTTTATCATTTACAGCAAGTAAAATGGTGAGCGCGAGGCATAACCTAAGGAGAAGAGGCCCCGTAGGTTGGAGAAAGTGGATGTGGGAAGAGAGGGTTGGATTGGAAGGAATTTGTTTTCAGGGAATGGCTGCTTAGCCCTGGAATTTCGCCACCATGGACTCAAGTTACAGATATGGTACTACCAGTACTATGTGAACCAGTGTAAAAAGTACAAGTCGACTTCAAGGGAGCAGTGTGTACATATCCATCACCAAAAGTGTCGCACATCTGATGTTGAATCTCGTTTGGCATCGATATCCGACAATAAGGCATACTGGTAGTAGCTGTAAGAACTCAATGCCTAAATTGCACGAACGATTCTGTAGGCTATAAGCAGAGAACTAGCCCAGGAGCAATGAAAATGTTGCTCTGTATCGATTCCTCTCATTCTCCTTGGTTGCTGAGGAAACCACCCACAAATCCTGCTCCATTGCAGTTTCCACAAAGGATCGTACGCTTGCCTCTGTTTGGGTAGGGGAGCAGATGAGTGGATGTGGGACAGATAGGGAGGAAACAGAAGCGTCGTGTATAAGAGCAAGACCACGGGGGTCGTATAGGCAGTCAACCGACCTATGCTCTGTTTTCACAACCAATATTAGCAACGAACCAAGAAGAATAAGGAACTGTTATATTCCCTTCCCAACTATAAGCGGCAGCCGTGGAAACTGCAAGTGTAGCCAACAAAAGACTCCTCCTCAGCAATGCAGCGGCAGCAGAAGCAGCGGCGGCAGCGGCAGTACCAGCAGCAGCAGCAGCGGACGCGGACGTACCTGCAGAGCCAGCAGCTGGTACCCTTCTTGAAGCGGCCCTGGAAGTGGTCCTCCAGGTTCACTCCGCCGCCCTGGCACTGCTTGCACTGCACCGCACCTGTCGCGCACGCAGCGAAGGAGAGGGTGAGATGCGCGGATTGAGCCGGGGATCGGGGGAGATTGGAGTAATGGAGAAGGAGGGAAAAGGGGGAGGGGAGAAGTTTGGAAGTGCATTGCTCCAGAACACTATGAGAACGGGGAGAAGGTGCGGGGAGTGGGAGAGGGAGGCGGTGGTGCGGAGAGGAAGAACGGAAGAATAAAGGATCAGGGACAATAAATTGCTCGTTGCGGCAACCAGCTAGACTCAGCTGATTAAATTTACCATGCACTTACTCTACAATTGCACATTCCCAATCCCTTCCCAACACCGTAACTTCCCATTCCAAATTCCGTAATGGCTGCAAACTACCTTACTCGGTTGCCGTTCCAGAAAAGCTTTAGACATATTATTGTTTTCAAATCTTATAAATCGAGCACTCACCGTTTCCTTCGCAGTCCGTGCAGAGGATCGAACCGGTTTTCGCGGCGACAGCGGCGACATCCGGGCCGACAACGGGCTTGTTTTCGTCGTCAGACGCGCGAACGCGAAGCTGTTGACACGTGCACACAATGGCAGGGAGGGTGAGACGCGGTGAGAACTCATTGGACTAGTGAAGTTGAGGCAAGGAGGAAAGATCGCAAAATGCATCTCATAAATTGCTTCCCCCTCCTTTGCACGAAAACAAAAACATTGAAGGAGAGACAGAATTGGTGTGCAAGGATGAGTTGGCTTGCCTGAAAAACTCTGCCCTTGCTCCGACCAGCTGCTGCTGAGGGCTTCTGCGACGCCAGAAACTGGGATGAAGAGAGTTTGACGGAGGAGAGTGCGGTGACGGTGACGAGGGAAGCCATTGCCGGCAACGGAGAACGACAGCGAAATAAGTGGCGAAAATGGACCAGGAATCAGGAATATGTCCAGGAGGAGGATGTACGTATATCGTTGGGAATGTGTTGCCTTTATAGATGAGCGATGGCTAAATAAGCAGCGGTACGCTATGGACAGAGACTGGTGTGCCGACTTCAGAAGATCGATTCGGTCACAATGTGGTGGGTGGGAGACAAGATGCGGCCTTCACGCAACCAGACCGATTCGGAACTTTGAGGAAGGGTCGTGCGACTTAGTTCGGTTGCAAGGATGCAACACCGATGAAGGGAGAATGAAGGCTCCGCGAGATCGTGTGAAGCGGAGGTAGCAAAATAATGACAATAACTGTCTAGGAACGGCTGCGATTAGAGGAACATTTGAATTGCAACATCGAGTTTCTCGGAGGTTCTGGAAGGAGCCGGGGGTTTAGTTTAGAGATTGGTTTGGGGGAGGGAGGGAGGCCAAAAATATCACAACAATACCTGAGAATGAGTGGATTTTGACCAGGGCCACGTCAGCGAGTGGAGGGCAGGTGACATGTCTTGGTGATTAGAAGGAAGAACCTCTATCAAAACGCCGATAGATCCACTTTCCATGTTGCTGGTCGTTGTTTGGGTTCCACGCTGGCGCTGATGTGGCTAAAATATGCCGTCATGTGCGCTAGAAGGTCACTCGGTGTCCATTGCAGTTACAGCAGAAACAGAAGTAGTGGAAGCAAACATTGTCTATAAATGGCATAACATTGATCAATATCCCGTTTACAATACAAGTGAAATTTCACACTGGTGAAAAAAAAAACTGTATTATTTTATCATGTATTTAGAGGCATATAAATGCAATAAATCAAAGCATCGCCATAAACCACCTCATGACCATATAATAATAAAGACTACGCAGGAATATTCTATTAGATCTATCCTTGTGTTGCTAATGTGCTGTACTCTCTCGGACAGAATCCCCGCACATGCAGCAAAGCATGCATAGACACACGCGTCATCTTCGCATTCCTCTTGTTGCATGCGAAAGGAAGACTCAATGGCGAACTGCGAGTTGATGGCTTTCCTCGGCTGGAACCGTGCATCGCCAAGAAGAGGGTCTCGTGGCTGATGGATGTGTTTCTGGGGTTCGGAAGTGGTCGCTTTCTTGATTCAGTCATCTAGCAAGTTGTTTTGCACCGACCACCGGAAGCTTGTATCTGTCGCTTTTCACCTCACAAATCCTCCCTCAACCCGACGAACTGGCTGCTGCTTTCAGCATATCGACTGCCGTCGCAGCGTTACCCTCCTCCATTGTTTCGAGGCTTCCCATGGATCCAAGGAGAGGACAGGCTCAGTGGCAGCAGGGAGGAGGCGGAACGTTTGGAAGCTCCCAGCAACAGTCAGGTCAGGGCGTTCAGCAGCAAGGGCAACAGCAAGGACAACAGGGGGGCCAGGGTTACTCTTATTCCTACTCTTCCTCCTACTCCAGCGGACCTGGGGGTCAATACGGGCAGGCGGACTTTTCACAAGACAAGGGGGGTGGTGGCGTGGAGCATCATCACGTCGCGTGGGGTCCTGGACAGGAGCCGCAGCACCATCACTTCTCTACCCAAGTACGCGCGTTTTGTGTGCTTCTGTTGAGGCATTCTGGAAACGCATGTAGCATCTAGGATTTGACACGTGTTTGTTCACGGTGGATGCTGTGGAATTTTGCTTTATGATGGTTTTTTTCGTTACTTCGTGGGGATTAGGGTCAGCAACAGGAAGGCCAGCAGCAGGGAGGCCAGCAAGAGGGAGGCGAGCAAAGGATGCCGGAAGATTTGGCAGCTCTGCAGCAGGCGAGAAACGCAGTGCAGATGGACTCAATTCGTGCTGTTCAGGTATGTTCACTTTATAGTGATAGTCGGCGAATGAGGTTAGCATTATGGGTGTATAATGTTGTTTCTTCCTTGCCATCTTCTGCAGGACCTGCATCAAAGAGCGGGACGGCAGGCACAACATGAGGCACCACGTAAGGGAGAGAAGTAGACTGAAGATGCTTCCAAGATTAGGAGTTCGGCTGGAAAAGATTCTTGAAGTGGGAGGAACAACTCGGGATTGTAAATAGGATGTCAATGTGAAGTGGGATAGTGTATATAGTGGAAAGCTGGAAGAGCATTGCTGAAGATAATGGAATCAGATAATGTGTGAACACTTTTATTTTCGAGATTGGGCGCACCTATGCAATCTGCGAGTTTTGTTTTGTTGGAACAGCGTGAGCGTCACGATTCAATCATCCTTGTCCCAAGTTGCGAGGCTCACACCTGGGGAACACTCCGCAACCCGAATTATTTCAGCTTCCAAACAAACCGTGTCGAAACGGAAGACATCGTATGTAACCGCACTAAATCGAGCTTTTCAAACCAACAAATTGTACTTCATCTCAAGCTTTAAAATAGTTTGGTGGCTGAACCCAGTAGTAGTGACCCGAGCACCTTGCCTAGCTTTCTTCACCTGGACAGCTGATCCTAACATCACAATCTCTCTAGCTCTATGCGGTACCGTGTCGACAACTTCGCTTCTGTTGCTGCTGTGGCCGAGCCGTCTAATGGCAAAAGATTACTGTGCTGTTATTGCCGTCCTTATACTTTGAGAGTCACGGTAGATAAAGAGTTGTCGCAGTGAACCTGGTGTTGATTACATAAAACTTTCGGAATCGATGACGAGCCCTAACCATCGAATCGACGACGCTGCTCCTTGTACGGGTGAACATCAAACGAGCGAACGGCTTCAAAACACTGCTTCTGCCGATGGTGGCGATTTCCATGCCGCTGGTTACCCGAACGAGTTCTCGTTTCGTCAATGGGCAGAAGGCCACGGTAGCGACGGCATCGCTTCAATACCAGGGCGACAACGCGAAACCGACCGATTCGAGGTCACGGAGGAATGGCGCGGCTTCGAAAACGAGGCGACAGAAAGGGTTTCAGGTCTGTTAGAGGTTTCAGTGCTGCAGCCAAATGGCGTAGGCTATGCAGGGAAGGACAACAGAGTGAGCCTTGAGACGCGTCAAGAAACTGCGGCAGGCCTGTTGGAGACTCCAATGCTGCAGGGAGCTGGTGGTGGGGATGGATGGATGGACAGCAGAATGAGCAGCAGAGGTGGGGGGTGTGGTGTTGGGGGGTCTGAGGAAGAGGGGCGTAGGGGAGGTGAACGGGGGAGGGAGGTGGGCGAGAAGGTGGAGATCGGCAGAAAGGAGGAGAACGAGGAGAGGGAGACGGAGGAGAAGGAGGAGGAGAAGGAGAAGAAGCAGGAGGCATGGTCTTCATATGAGACGGTTTTTACGAATGCGAAAGCAGGTACGGAGCGTGTGGTAGTAGTAGAAACGGAACGGAGAACGAATAAAGGGAGCACACAGGAAACGGAGCGAGCACACAGAAACGCACGTAGGAAGGAACAGAGTGGCGAGATGAAACAGGAGCGAGCACACAGACGAGTTAGACATGCCGCACTGCATCCTTCCACGTGTGAAGGGCGCGTCGTCTCTACACCATGACCCAGGGATGCAGTCAACCAACCAATTAGGCTTGGAGGGCATGGACAGGGAGCGGGTGAAGCGCATCAATAGATTCCAAGAGCCACGGCTCGCGGTTTTCCAACTCATTCCACCTTCCCCCGCCTTCCTCCACTCACCGTCCAGGCATGGAGGGCGTGGACAAGGAACGAGTCAAGCGCATCGTCTATGCCATGAGCCATGGCTCGCGGTTCTTCCAACTCTCTCCTCCCTCCCACCCTCCTTCGGCTAACCTTGCTGTATCTGTATGTACACCCATCTATTGGTTCCCAGGCATGGAGGGGGTGGACAAGGAGCGGGTGAAACGGATAGTCTACGCCATGAGCCAGGGCTCGCGCTTCTTCCAGCACGAGCAGCGCAAGGAGGCAGCCCTCCCATGAGCCAGGGCTTGAAGTGAGCACTGCCCCACGTTCCACCCCCACCCGCCCCCACTCTCCAGGCATGGAGGGGGTTGACAAGGAGCGAGTCAAGTGCATAGTCTACGCCATGAGCCAGGGGTCGCGCTTCTTCCAGCACGAGCAGCGCAAGGAGGCAGTGCTGCTGGCGAAAATCGCCCACATGCAGCGCGCCAAGCAGGCCATTCCCCCGGAGAAACTCGCCCTACTGGAGAGGCAGGCGGATGGGATGCTGGCGCGGATGGTGGCGGAGGAGAAAAGGGAGGGGCGGCGGCGCGTGTGGGTGCATGTGGACATGGATGCGTTCTATGCGGCGGTGGAGGCGCTGGGGGATGCGAGGCTGAGAGATGTGCCCATGGCTGTTGGGGGTATGGGCATGCTCTGTACCGCCAACTATGAGGTGAGGTTGGCCTGTGGGGGGTCGGGGTTAAGAGAGGGTGGTGGGAGGAGGTGAAAGGGGAGCGGGAGAGAGGACGGGAGAGGGGGAGGAAAGGGGGGGAAGGGGGGAATGGGGATAGGGTAGGTCAACAGTTGGGGGAAGTCTCTTTCTTAGCCTTGACCACTCTCCCCTCTCCCCCGTCCCCCGTCCCCCTTCCCCCTTCCCTTCCCTGTCCCCCCTCCCCCATTCTCCCCTTTTCTCCGCCACGTCCCCTCTGCCCTCCCTCTCCCACACAACATCTGTGCAGGCGCGCAAGTACGGGGTGCGGGCAGCCATGCCGGGGTTCATAGCACCCCTTCCCCCTCCCCCCACCTCTTCACTCTCTCCCACACACCACGTCTGTGCAGGCGCGCAAGTACGGGGTGCGGGCAGCCATGCCAGGGTTCATAGCACGCAAGCTATGCCCTGAACTCGTGTTTGTGCCACCTGATTTCACCAAGTATCAGCACTACTCCAACCTCACCCATGAAGGTGTGCTGCTGGCGCTGCTGGTGTGCATGTCCATGTGTGCCCCCCTGCCTGTCAGCTGTTTTATCCACCTGTGTCCACTGAATTGTATCCATGTGTGTGTGCCGCCTGATAATTGATTCACCAAGCATCAGCACTACTCCAACCTCACGCATGAAGGTGCGCTGCTGCAGGCAATGGTGGTGGCCCTTTCAGTTCCTGGGAGGCATCCCCCCACCCCACTTACCCACTTGCTTGCTTACCCACTCGCTCACAGTCTAGATGAAGCGTATTTGGACAAATCTCACTCTTCTGCCTCATTGTTTCCCCTCTCCTGAATCTCAGCCTGGCTCATCACATCCCACCGCATCCCACCCCCCCCCACACACTCCCTGCACCGCACTCCACCCAGTGTTCCGCCAGTACGACCCGCACTTTGTAGCGCGCAGCCTAGATGAGGCGTATCTGGACATCACGGGCGTGTGCGAGGAGAGGGGCATGACTCCTGCGCAGGTATTCTTCCTTTGTGTGTGCTTAACTGGAAATTTTCGCTACACGCAGTTCAAATACCCTTCACGAAGGTGTCGATTGTCTTAGGCATATCTACACATCACTTCTGAGGCGCCTCAAAAGTCTTCGCATCTGGACAGGACATCCCTGCTGTGTGCGGGCGAGGAGAGGTGGATGGCTCCTGGGCTCTCACTGGTTCTGCCCTCAAGCATGCCATGCAATTCAGGCAGCATAGGAGCTGCGGCACAGAGTGCATGCTCACACACACACACACACACACACACACACACAGGGGCCTGTTTCTGAGGCGTGCATTCACATCACACACCTCAAAAGCAGACTCCTCAGTGGCAATCCTCCTAGTCTCCCTCCCTCCCTGCCTGCCCGTCCGTCCCCTTTACCATGCCAGGTAGCAGAGAAGCTGCGGCAGTTGGCTGTTTTCGATGCGGCGTACTCACAGGCCCCTCACTGGCGGTTGTCTCTGGTCTCCCCCCTTCCCCTCCGCCCCCCAAACACTCCAGGTAGCAGAGGAGCTGCGGCACAAAGTGCATGCACACACGGGGCTCACGTGCAGTGCAGGAGTGGCGGCGAACAGGATGCTCGCCAAGGTGAGCGGGTGACAGCAGGACGAGACAAGTGCATGCGTGGAGGAAACAGAAATGTGGAGAGGGGAAGGGAACGGGGCTCAAGTCAAGTGGGCGTAAGAGCTCAGTGCATGCATGCACACACGGGGCTCACGTGCAGTGCAGGAGTGGCCGCTAACAGGATGCTCGCCAAGGTGAATGAATGGGGTTTTGAAGTGGGGTTTGAGTGGGGGAGGAGTAGTGAAGGAGTGAAGGAGGGGATTGAGTCGACTCAAAGAGAAGCGAAGGTGCGTGCATGCACACACCGTGCTCACGTGCAGTGCAGGAGTGGCGGCGAACAGGATGCTCGCCAAGGTGAGTGGGTGACAAGTGCATCCATGGAGGAATAGAAAAGGGGTGCAAGTGCATTCACGGGAACAACGGGGGAGGGGTCAACAGGTGGTCGAGTGGGTGTAAGAACTCAGGAGGTGCATTCACGCTCACCTCCTTTGTTCGTCTACTTCTGTGTCATCTTAATCTCAACACACCCCCCTCTTTCCAACCGTGCAGGTGTGCTCGGACATCAACAAGCCCAACGGGCAGTACCTGCTGCCACCTGACCAAGTTGCTCACTCACCTGAACCCTCTTGTTCCTTTTCTTCGTGAACCTTCCCCTCCCCTTCTCTCCCTCCCGTCCGCACAGGTGTGCTCGGACATCAACAAGCCCAACGGGCAGTACCTGCTGCCACCTGCCCTCCACGTTGCCGCTTGTTGATGTTTCATGATTCTCATTTTTCCTATTCTCCGACTGACCCGCACAGGTGTGCTCGGACATCAACAAGCCCAACGGACAGTACGTGCTGCTGCGTGGCCAAGTGGCACACTCACCTGAACCCACTTGTCCCATTTTTGTGTGACCGTACCCTCGCCCTCCCACCCGCACAGGTGTGCTCGGACATCAACAAGCCCAATGGGCAGTACCTGCTGCCATTCGACCGTGAAGCCATTCTGAGCTTCATCTCCTCGCTGCCCATTCGCAAGGTACTGCTCTTTTGCCCTTGCATGCATCAAGGAGCGAGCAGCATGCCATGCCTGGATGGATGTATGCTTGGTATGCAAGGGCATGGCATGGCATGAAGCTCGGTCATCAAGCTGCCCATCCATGCCATGCCTGGATGTATGCTCGGTCGCTTACTCAGTCATATGCTCGCTCAGTTTGTGTATTCGATTCTAGATCACCTCAGTCTCTAGGTAAGCTCAGTCGTGTGCAGTTCTTCTCCATGTCGTGTGCAGTTCTTCTCCATGTCGTGTGCAGTTCTTCTCCATGTCGTGTGCAGTTCTTCTCCATGTCGTGTGCAGTTCTTCTCCATGTCGTGTGCAGTTCTTCTCCATGTCGTGTGCAGTTCTTCTCCATGTCGTGTGCAGTTCTTCTCCATGTCGTGTGCAGTTCTTCTCCATGTCGTGTGCAGTTCTTCTCCATGTCGTGTGCAGTTCTTCTCCATGTCGTGTGCAGTTCTTCTCCATGTCGTGTGCAGTTCTTCTCCATGTCGTGTGCAGTTCTTCTCCATGTCGTGTGCAGTTCTTCTCCATGTCGTGTGCAGTTCTTCTCCATGTCGTGTGCAGTTCTTCTCCATGTCGTGTGCAGTTCTTAGTTTAAAAATGGTGCTGTGACGTGGCATGTGATACGTCATGTATGTGACGTGGCGTGCATGTGATGTGGTGCATGCATGTTGTGACATGCCATATGGCATGGGGGCATGGCATCACATGGCATGGAATGACATGGAATGGAATGGCATTGTATGGCCATGACATGGCATGGCATGGCATGAAATGGTTTGTTTGGCAAGGTGACAGAGCGGTTGCTGCGGTTGTTTTTTAGGCGCCTCAAAACCACCTCAAAACCACCTCAATGCCACCTCAATGCCACCTCAATGCCACCTCAATGCCACCTCAAAACCACCTCAATGCCACCTCAATGCCACCTCAAAACACCCTCTCAATGCATGTGATGCAGATAGGAGGAGTGGGCAAGGTGACAGAGCGGTTGCTGCGGGACGTACTGGGGGTGACGGTGTGCGCTGACATCATCACTCACAGAGGCGCCCTGCTCGCCCTCTTCTCCCCCATATCCGCTGGTATGGTCCTCACTCGTGCACACATGCTCACACATAGCCATGCTCACACATAGCCATGCTCACACATAGCCATGCTCACACATAGCCATGCTCACACATAGCCATGCTCACACATAGCCAGCTCACACATAGCCATGCTCACACATAGCCATGCTCACACATAGCCATGCTCACACATAGCCATGCTCACACATAGCCATGCTCACACATAGCCATGCTCACACATAGCCATGCTCACACATAGCCATGCTCACACATAGCCATGCTCACACATAGCCATGCTCACACATAGCCATGCTCACACATAGCCATGCTCACACATAGCCATGCTCACACATAGCCATGCTCACACATAGCCATGCTCACACATAGCCATGCTCACACATAGCCATGCTCACACATAGCCATGCTCACACATAGCCATGCTCACACATAGCCATGCTCACAGGCTATTTGTGGAGCTTCAAAATCAGAGGCGCTCTGCTCGCCCTCTTCTCGCCCATATCCGCTGGTGCGCTCCTCACACGTGCACACGCTCGCACGCACTTGCATCGCGTGCACGCACATGCCCACTGGGACACACACATGCGCACACGGGCGCACATGAAGAAATGCACAACTGCACGCACGCACACGCGCACGGGCACACAGGCAGGCCTTAGTCGAGTCGTCCATCCTCACAAGTTTTAATTCTTCATGTACTGAGACAACAGACCTCTCTGGTAGTTGCTGAGATGTCTACATTCTAATGCAACCCTCACAAATTGCAATGTGCGGCAGCGGGGCGGGGGTCGTGGAGGTGTGTTTCAAGGAAGAACAGCAGCGGGCGGGGTCGTGGGTGGAGGAGGGTCCAAGGAAGAACATCAGCTGTGAGCGCCTAGGCTAGGCGCCTAGGCTAGGCGAGTATGAAGATGTGTTTCTTCTCATCCACCACCCTCACAGCTGTGAGCTGTGAGCTCCTCACATCACAGCTCTTCCATGCAATGCAACTCCCCCCATCCATCCATCCCTCGGTGCATGCCAGAGTTCTTCCGGTTCATGCAGGCATCGTTGGGTATAGGCGGCAGTGGGGACGTGGAGGAGGAGGGACCCAGAAAGAGCACTTCCTTCGGAGCACTTCCTTCATGCAGCACCCTCACCCTCACACACACATTGCAATCCAATCCACCCCCATGGCATGGCATGCCAGAGTTCTTCCTGCAAGCGGCGTTGGGCATAGGCGGCAGTGGGGACGTGGAGGAGGGACCCAGAAAGAGCATCAGCTGCGAGCGCACCTTCTCGCCCCTCTCTGCCGAGCCGGCTATTCTTAATAAGCTCGGTACGCTTTCATTGCCTCCCTCACTTTGCAGAGCCTGCCGTTCTGAATAAACTCAATATGCTTGTCATTCTATCTTCAGCTGTTATTGTCTATTCGTTACGTGTGATTGTTACTAGAACTATTTGTTGACATTGGTTACTAGTAATTGTTCCTTGTGGCATTGCTCTTGTTCTCTCTCCCTTGCAAATCCAGTGTTTGCAATTGCAACCCACACAAGCAGTTCCTTTTGAGGCGCCTCAACCAGTTCCTTTTGAGGCGCCTCAACCAGTTCCTTTTGAGGTGCCTCACAAATCCAGTGTTTGCAATTGCAACCCACACAGCCTGTTCCTCCCCATGTCGCCCTCTTTTCTATTTACCTTTCTCCTCTTCCCCCACGCTTCCTTCGGCCAGAATTTCCAGCTTTTCTTTTATTCCCTGCTTCCTCCTTTCCTGTGTCTCGCTTTCCACTTCCACCCAAGCAGAGGAACTGAGCTTCGCTCTGGCAAAAGACCTGGAGGAAGGAACATGGCATCAAGGGCCGAACACTCACCTTGAAGCTCAAAACAACCGCTTTCTTTTCTTCCAACTTTGTTCTTCCCCTTTCAACCATGCAGAGGAACTGAGCTTCGCTCTGGCAAAAGACCTAGAGGAGCATGGCATGAAGGGCCGAACACTCACTCTCAAGCTCAAAACAACCACTTTCGAGGTCCGTTTTTTTAGTCACCTTGGTTTGTTTGTTTCGATTCAGCCTGATTTTCAGAAAGACATGCTTCAAAATTTACATTTTTTTTCAATCCCCCCTTTCCCCTCTCCCGTTTCCCCTCCCCCCTCCCCCCTCCCCTGTGGCAATCAGGTGCGCACACGGGCGGTGTCTGTACCAGAGCCCATGGGGTCACAGCAGGAGATCTCTGAAGCCTCTCAAAGCTTCAGAACTCAGTAACAGCAGCAGGGAGTAAAAGCCTCCTCCCTTTGCCCCTTTTCCCTCTCCACCTCATCGCCCTCAGGTGCGCACACGGGCGGTGTCTGTACCAGAGCCTATAGGGTCGCAGCAGGAGATGTGGCCGTTGGTGGTGAGGCTCATACGAGCAGAGCTGCCAGTCTCGGTGCGACTGCTAGGTGAGTGGTGCTGCTGGGTGCAGAGCGGTGCTGCGGGCGGTGTCTGTACCAGAGCCCATAGGTTCACAGCAGGAGATGTGGACGCTGGTTGTGAGGCTCATACGAGCAGAGCTGCCAGTCTCGGTGCGATTGCTAGGTGAGTCGTCGTGGTGCTGGGTACAGAGCGGTGCTGCTGGGTGAGTGTTTGTGCCGAATGGTGCTGCCTTGGCTATGGTACACTGAGGTTGCCCCTTGGTGGTTTTTTTGGGTGAGTGGCGCTGCTGCTGAGTGCAGAGTGGTGCTGCTGGGTGAGTGAGTGATGCTGCTAAGTGCAGAGTATTGCTACGTGAGCCATACAGAGTTGGCCTTTCTGTCGGCATGTGTGTGTGTGTGCCACTGTTGTCGACTTTTGAGGCGCCTCAGAAGCACTTTTGAGGCGCCTCAGAAGCACTTTTGAGGCGCCTCAAAAGTCAAAAGCACAGAGTTGGCCTTTCTTTCGGCATGTGTGTGTGTGCCAGTGTCACTGTTGTTGACAGAAAGCTGTGCTGTGCTGTGCTGTGCTGTGCTGTGCTGTGCTGTGCTGTGCTGTGCTGTGCTGTGCTGTGCTGTGCTGTGCTGTGATGTGATGTGCTGTGCTGTGCTGTGCTGTGCTGTGCTGTGCTGTGCTGTGCTGTGCTGTGCTGTGCTGTGATGTGGCGCCCTTCTCTATCTCAGGTCTGCTCTGCGCATGAGCGCCCTTATGCCGCGCGCCAGCAGCGGCAGCAGCAGGCAGTTTAAGAGATGCCTAAGAACAACACCGAGAAAAGACGAACGTAACAGTAACGTCTGTTCTCCTGCCTTTTCCTACCTACCTCAGGTCTGCGCATGAGCGCCCTTGTGCCGCGCGCCAGCAGTGGCAGCAGCAGGCAGATTAAGAGACGCCTAAGAACCAGACAATGAAAGAGCCAAGGCAAAAGATGTCATCTGTTCCGCTGCCCCTTCCTACCTCAGGTCTGCGCATGAGCGCCCTTGTGCCGCGCGCCAGCAGCGGCAGCAGCAGGCAGGCAACTATCAGTGAGGTGCTCGGAGGAAGGAGAGGAGGCGGTGGTGGTTCTGCCAAGGGGGCTGCTGAGGGGAAGTATCCTACCGGTTGCCCTGAAGGGAAGTTCCCTACAGGTCCAACTGAGGGGAAGCATTCTGCATATATGGGTCTTAAGAGAGTAGCTCCGAGCAAGGGCCGGGGAGGAGAGGGGAGGGAGCGGTTGCTGGAGGAGAATCTGGTGGAGGGATGGAGAGAGGCGCATGGAGGAGCAGAGGAGGTAGAGGAGAGGCAGCTTGGGTCGTGTTTTGAGTCGACTCAAAACAGGGAGCGGTTGGTGGAGGAGAGTTTGGTGGAGGGAGGGAGAGAGGCGCATGGTGGAGCCAAGGGGGTAGAGGAGAGACGGTTTGAGGCGCCTCAAAATATATTGGAGGGGGAGAGTGAGGTGCATGGAGGAGCGGAGGGGGTAGAGGAGAGGCGGCTTGGGGGAGAGGGGAGGGAGCATGCAAGATTTTTCAATGCATGCGTGCAAAATGAGACAGGGAGAGAGGTGGGGGAAGGAGAGGTGAGGGGCTGTGGCGATGGTGGTGCTGAGTTGAGTGGCTGTGAGTGGGAGGGTGGGTGGGATAGTGAGAGTGAGTGGGAGGAGTGTGGTGAGGGGATGGCTGGGGTGATGGATGGTGGGAGGAGCGGTGGGGGAGAGAGGGAGGAGAGGGAGGAGAGGGAGGAGAAGGAAGAGAGGGAGGAGAGGGAGAAGAGGGAGGAGGGGGAGGGGAGGGAGGAGAAGCAGGAGAAGGAGAGGAAAGGGGAGGAGAGAGAAGAGAGGGAGGAGGAGGAAGAGAAGAAGGAAAGAGAAGAAAGTGAGAAGAGGGAAGGGAGGGAAGAGAGGGAGGAGAGAGAAGAGAGGATGAAGTACATTGATGTTGAGAAAGCATGTGCACAGGTGGGTAGGAGAAGGATGGAGGAGAGGGAGGGCGAGGAGGAGGAAGTGAAGGAAAAAGAGGTGACGTTGGCTCTGACTCAGAAGGCGTTTCAAATGCCTCATATGTCGTTTGAAGATGCGACTCATAATCAGGAGGGCATGGAGAAGCAAGAGATGGTATGTTTCGGAGATGAGGCAGCGGCAGCAGAAGAAGAAGACGAAGCAAAAGCAGAACCAGCAGGAGCACTGGCTACTGGTGCGATGAGCCAGGCCTTTGAAACGAGTCACAGGACGAAACGTTTGCTGGGGAAGCGGGTGCAGGGGTCCCGAGTGGAAAAAGGGGGAAAGGCGGGAAGGGCAAGAAAGAAAAGGCAACTCGAGAAGCAGCAACAGCAGCAGCAGCAGCTATGCATAGATTCGTTGTTGCAGCACGTAGCAGCAGGAGGCACGAGAGGAGCAGGAGCATCTGGTGATGGTCGATTAGTAAGAGATACGAAAGCGAGTGGCAGAATGCATTTCAGTAGTGTGGGAACAGCAACCAGTGCAGCTGGTGGTGCAGCAGCAGCAGCAAGCGAAACAGGAAGAGTATCAGATGGGTATTGTAACCAGGCAGGTACAAGTGTTTGCAGCATTCCCGCGAGAGGGCAACAGCTACAGCACCAGCAAGAGCAACCGCAACAGTACATGCCTGGCGTGGGTGACATCTCAGAGCAGGAAGAGGATATGGCCTGTGAAGAAAAGGAGACGTCTTGTGAAGAAAAGGAGACAGTACGTGAAGAAAATAATGAAAAGAAGCTACGCGGAGATGAGCAGAGGGCCTGTGGAGGAGAGGGCACACAGGCGGATGATCAGCATGAGGTGACATGGGTGGCAGTGAGAGAATCGGGAGCGATGAGGTGTGGCATGTGTGGGCATGAGGTGGCAGTGCATGAGCAGCCCTGGGGGCTGCAAGAGCATGCTGATTTCCACCTGGCGCTAGCCTTGACTCGCCTGGACCAGCAGGAAGCTACAGATGCAGCCACAGCAGGTGTGCGTGTGTCTGCTTCTCGTGGTGGCTGGGATTCGTGGCACAGATTTGCTGGTTCTCGTCCTTTGCAGAGAATTGATGGGGGCGGGAAAGGGCGAGGAGGAGGCAAGGGCAAGGGAAGGGGGAGAGGGAAGGGGACGGGGAGGAAGACGGGCCAGGGTGCTGCTAAGGGATGAGGAAAGGAAGGGTTGTTTGGAATGACGTGCTTTCTTTTGTCGTAAGCGAGAGAGAGTAGTGATTTTGTAATTTGCTGGTTGCAACTTGCAACTCTGGCGCTGGCGTATGAAATCAGTAAGAATCAAGCAATGGTGCCCGTTCAGTTTGAGGCTTGCCCTTGGAGGTGAAAAAACAATAGAATACATACACCACTTTTCAGAATATCAAAGCCCACGATTTGACTTCAACATCCAAGTTGGACCCAGCTAAAATTGGTACAGTATGCCCCTGCAGCCATAAAAGCATTTGCTGCAATGTTTTGCGAGGAACTTCTCTTTCAAAATAGCTTGAATAAGTAATGTGAATGGAATTACCACCTCGATTGCAACTATAAACAAATAAGCACAGCAGGAATGCGCACCAATAAATGTTCAGCCAGCTCACAACATGCGGGGTCAACACCACCCGCTTTATTCCTGTGACAACCCCCTTCACTCCTCCATAATCCTTACTCATCTCCCTTCTCCTTCTCACCCACCCTCCTGCTGCCGCTGCTGCTGTCACTGCTGCTACTACCACTGCTGCCACCCCTCTTCTCCTGCCCTCGAGCCATGCTTGCATCATCCACCCTCAGCGCCACGCGTGCCGCCTCATAGCACACAAAGGAGATGCCAGCAGCAGGGAGCAGCTTCAACCACGTGGTTCCCAGCCCTCTGTACACAGCCCACACGCCCTCTGTCTCAATTATACCCCTGAGAATGGTGTTTGCTGTCTGTCTCCCTGCAGCGCCAGCGCCTGTGGCTGTCACGCCTAGCTGCAATCTTCTACGGACCACCTGGAGGGTGGAGTGGGAGTAGGGGGAGAGGGAGAGGGAGAAAGTGTTTGTTGGGATGGTTGGGGTTGTTGGGATCTACTGTCAGAAGGAATGTGCAGCAACCTGCAACCATGCAATGAGCAGCAGCTGAATCAACTCACCTAGAGAGGAAACGTGACAGGACTGGGCGCAGAAGCAGTAGCAGCTCCGAACAACAGCAAGCAAGGCAAGAAGCAGCAAGCAGCAAGCAGCAGCTGAGTCACACTCACCTCAAGAGGGAACGTGACGGCACTGGAGGCGGACGCAGCAGCAGCGCCGAACAGCAGCGTGGCCTCGTTGGGGACCTGCTCCCTGCCGGTGGCCTTCCTGTATGCGGTGCGCAGCGCATCATACACAAAGTAGTTGGTGGCCGCGTACGGCACCACGCCTAGGAGAGACGGCACTATGCCACGGTATAGCGACAGGGCGCCCTGGATGATGGCATGGGGGGGAGGGTGAGGGGTGGAAGGGAGAGGAAGCGGGAAAGTGTTTTTGAGGTGCCTTGAAGGTGGTAACGTATGGCACCACGCCTAGGAGGGACGGCACTATGCCACGGTACAGAGACAGAGACAGCTAGCTACCCACCCCCCTACGCCCCAATCCACCACCCTGCCTCTTTCCACCCCACGCTTCTTCCCCCCTTCACGCACCTCTTCCTGCACGATCCTTCTAACAGTGGACCCCAGGTCGCAGTACAGCTCAAGCTGCACACTGATTCGCCCGTGCATGCACCTCCTAACCAAGAACCAGACACCCATCTCCCACCCCATCTCGCCCCATCGCACTTCTTCGCACCCCATCCCACCCCATCCCATCGCACCCGATCGCACCTCTTCCTGTACAATCTTTCGAACAGTGGACCCCAGGTCGCGGTACAGCTCGGGCTGAACGCTGATGCGTGTGCGGATGAGCTCCAGAGGGTATGTCAGCAGCGTGCCCGCCAGCCCTGCTGCTGCTCCCGACACTGGCGCCGCCACGTGCTGCAAGGGGTGGCCCGGACGGCCCAGCAGGCGCTTGAGCATCTCGAACGTGCATAGCTCCACGGCCTTGTGCGGCCCCACGCGGAGGCAGTTCACTCCGTTGCCTGGCGAGTCGAGGGGGAGTTGGGGGAGGGGAACGAGGGAGAGGAGGGGAGAGGAGGGGGAAAGGGGGGACGGAAGGGGGAAGGGAAGGGGACGGGAGGGGGAAGGGAGTGGGGAAAAGACGGAAAAGGGAGGGACGCAAGAGGAAGTGGAGATTAGGAACAGCGAGGAGTGACAGGGTGACAGGCGGTACGGTAGCAGCGTGCTGTAACGGGTGGCCTGGGCGGCCCAGGAGGCGCTTGAGCATCTCGAACGTGCAGAGCTCCACGGCCTTGTGCGGCCCCACTCGCAGACAGTTCACTCCGTTGCCTGGCCAAGGAGGGGGGAGGGGACGGGAGGGGAGGAGAAAGGTGGGGAGGAGATGAGGGAAGGGACGGGGATGGGAACGGGCGAGGAAGAGAGAAGAGGTATATAGGGGGGATTGGGAAGGGTAGGGGAAGGGAGTGGAGGCGCCGAGACGAAAGACGAGATGAGAGGGCAGCTGGGACGGGAACAGCCAAAGGCGACGACAGGGCGACTAGGGGACTGCGAGACAGGAAGACCTTGTGACTGGTCACTGGGGGACGAGCGACGGACGAGGCAGGTACGAGGGAGGGATGCCACAGTGAGGGCGTACCTCGGAAGAAGCCCTTCCAGCCGTCTTTTGCCATAATCGCCGAGAACACGCTCGCCGCGGTCTTGTGCGCGCCGGGCAGACCGTTGCTGCTGATGAGATGCGTCTGTGGGATAGGCGATACGTGGAAAGGGAAGGAGGGAGGGAGGAACGGAGGGAGGGAGGGAGGGAAGGAGGGACGGAGGGAGGGAGGGAGGGACGGAGGGACGGAGGGAGGGACGGAGGGAGGGAGGGAGGGAGGACGAGAAATGTGGTGGTGAAGACGCGAGAAAAAAAGACGGCAAAAACAAACCAACCAACCAAAATACGGAACTGCGAAGAAACGGTCTGCTGCCTTACCCGGATGAGGTCTAGAGGCGCGACGGCGGTCCGCGACACGATTCCCGCGAACCCACCACACAGCAGCTGCTCCGGAACGCCCCCCCTCACCCGCACCCCCTTCCCTTCCCCCTCCCGTTCCCCCTTCCGCTCCCGCCGTTCGCTCTCTGCCCCCTCACCCTGCAGCCTCCGCTCTTCCGCTTCCTTCCCCTCCGCCTGCCTTCCGCTCACCGCCAGCCGAACCTTTATCCCTCTTAACCCAACCGGACTCCTTCCGCCTTCCAGACTTAATCTCGCTTGCCCGCGGCTCCGCGCCGCCGCACTCTCCCACCGCCGGCCGTGCGGGAAACCCGCGGCGGCGGCTCGCACGAAGGAGCGGCTCTGCGCGCCAAGCGCTGCCACAGCTGCTCCTAGCCACTCCTCCGCCTCGTCCAGCCGCCGCTCGAGCGCGACTAGAGGGGGAGGCGGAGGAGGAGGCGGGGAAGCCAAATCCGTTATATCTCGCCACTGCGCGACCAGCTCTTGAGCCCGCGCATCGACCTGCCAGAAGAAAGTTTCACTTCCGTCTTCCTCGTTTCTGGTGCCGAATCTGTCGCCGAGACCGCTTCCTCCGCCGAAACTTGCGCTATTGGCACTTAGCCTTGTAGCTGCTTCCGAACCTGACGCCGCAGATGCCGCTGGTATCGCTGGTACCGCTAACGCCGCTGACGCCACACGGCTGTCTCCCGGTTGTAGCCTCTCCTTGAAACTCCCAGACGACCCGCGCTTCGGAGCCGATGGTCTCGTCGCAGGGACTGACTGAGGGATTGACGGAACCGACGCGAAGCGCTGACCCGGAGCGAAAACTTCGGCGAGGTGGGCTGCTCGACGACCGACGGAAACATGCGGATGGGGAGGAGGAGGAAGAGGACTGGTAGTAGGAGGAGGCTGAGGGAGGGGAGCGTGGTGGAGAAGCGGCGAGGCGAGGGGAAGTGCAAGGACGGAGTCGGCGTGCAGGGAGTGGGACGGCGACGAGGGGATGCTCAACGGACGGCTGGATTCCCACTTCATGTCTGTGTGGAAAACGGGATGAGACCACGCGACGGAGTGTGGAGAACAAGAAGAATAATAAAAGACGTAAGGAGGAAGCCTTTCACTCAGACCGAGCATTTACGAGGACCGCGCCTTTCTTATGAACCGAACCTTTAGGTGGAGGAAGATGTTTACGTGAAGAAACCTGTACGTGCCAGCGTGGTGTAAAAGCAGATGTTGAATTCAATACAGACCAGTTATTGCGAGGAGAGGTCGTGCAGCCGAATATAGGAAAACTACCACTTGGCGTAACCTCGAAAGTATTGGCGTGCACGGTAAGAAGTTTGTATGGTACGCCCGAGATAGGAGATTGTTTTGAGCAGTGTCTGTACTTACTGGCTCTAATCACGCAGCGGGATAACTTCTTCGGTGCTTCCTCCGACAAGATTGCTCTGCTTTCCAGACGTGACAATCAAACGCAGCAGCACACACTTACGAACGTCTCGCGACCTAAGCTTATAGCTAACGTCCTCCTCGACGGCTGTGCGTAATACGCTGAGCAAGTGTGCGTATGAGCAAGCAGATGTGGCGTCAAGTCTGGTTAGCGGAGCGTGAAGCGTGGTAAGCAGGTGACGTATACCGAGCGGCTGTGATAATTGACGTGCAAGAATTCTTACAAATAGGCCATTGCGTCTGAAATACCTCTGGCTTGGTCTCGTCTGGCTGGCCTTGTCAAGGGTGGGATGAGGTACAGTCGGTTCGGGTGGATTTGGATATGGTTCATGATAAACCAAGGGTGGTGGAGATGTGTGAACAAGATTGCTTGTGTTGCTCTGGTTCGGAATTGCCAGCGCGGTGGTGGCGAAAGCAAGTGGAGATACAGATGCACAAATTTCCCTGGCTGGATTTTGGCGGTGTCAGAGCCAGACAAGCGTAGACATTTCCGCGTTTCGATTTCGGTGCTCCGGCAGCTTGGCTCTGGTGTGCCACGTCGGCTTGAGAACAGGCCCGGAGCCGTAGCAAGGGGGACATCGAGGGTTAGCCAGGAAAAGCTCCCCCGAGCGGGCCTACGTGGAGTGGCTCGATTCACGCCAGCTCGTCATATCATATTCCCTCGAAAGTACCGCCAAGAGGTCTGTATTCAAATTTCCAGACCGCCATACAGCTCGAGCCTGAAACACGGAAGGCTAGGCGGAAAATCATCGAGGTGTGTGGTGGGGTGGTTCTGCCCACAATGACACGCAACTCTGAAATATCCTTGCAAACGTGAATCGACGCCAGGAGAGTGGTGGTGTTGCTGGAATCCCACTGGGGATGGACGACCCTACGTGGCAATTATTGAGTCACGGGACCTGATCTAGTGGTGAAAGCCGCTTTAGCCAACGAGGTTTCCCAAGAGCGCAGCGTCCTCATTCATAACTTGTGATCCAAAACAAGTTCACCAAAAAAGTTACCGGCCTATCACTGTTGGACATGTGTTCGTTCACGTGTTGTGCCAGCCAGTTGCGTATGGACCCTGCTTGGTGGCAGAGGGCAGAACTCCGATAGCAATAATCCTGACAGTGTAGAATGATTGGAAGTTTGAATTAAAAACCAAGAGCCAAATCAATATGATAATCTGGCAAAGCACAGGAAATCCATTACTACTACTAATGCATTGCAAGTCAGCTAAACCAGTAAACACTCCAGCCTCTGCAAGTCAGAGGCAACGTCAAAACCGTGAAGACATCCAATCCAGGTATGATACCATACGTGTGCACCACTAGCACTCCACATCACTTCCATCAAAACCACCACCACATCACCCATACCACTCTTACCGCCCCTAGCCTACACATCCGTCGCCGTTTCCTGCAAGTCCTGCACGAGCTTAAAGCACTGCGCGATGAGCGTGGAGCAAACCGCCTGCCCGGCCGGAATCCCCGTCTTGGGCGAGCCGCCGAAAATGCCGTCCACACGGTCCCTATCAATGGCATCCAGCTGCAGCTGGTAGATGTGCAGGTCCTCTGTGCTGTGCTTGACGTGCTTGCTCTTGAGCTCGATCAGCTTGCGCTTGATGCCGATGAGGTGCGTGTAGATGCCGCGCATCTCTGCGTTCATCTCGTGCGCGGAACCCAGCAGGATACGCAGCAGCTCTGCGGGTACAAAGTAGGGGGAAGGAGGTGGTGAAGAGGGGTGGGGACAGGTGAATAAGGGTGGGAAAGAGGGGCAAACGAGAGGTAAGAGGGTTAGGTGAAGAGGGTGAAGATCCCGTCGACGCGGTCCCTATCAATGGCATCCAGCTGCAGCTGGTAGATGTGCAGGTCCTCCGTGCTGTGCTTGACGTGCTTGCTCTTGAGCTCAATGAGCTTGCGCTTGATGCCGATGAGGTGCGTGTAGATGCCACGCATCTCTGCGTTCATCTCGTGTGCGGAACCGAGCAGGATGCGCAGCAGCTCTGAGGGTATAAGATAGGGGGAAGGAGGCAGTGGTGTGGTGGAGAAGGGTGGGGAGAGGTGAACAAGGGTGGAAAAGAGGGGCACACGAGGGTGGAAGAGCGAAGAGGCAGGGGGTAATGAGGGAGGAGTGGGAAATGCTGAGGTGGTGTGTGCAAATGTGTGACATGGCTCTACTCATCACTGTCATCCCAAGTCCCATTCGTTTAGCACCTGTCCTGTCGCCTCCTTCCTTCTCAACCTTCCCTCCATATCTTGCAAACGCAAGGCTTGCGTCATCTCAGCAAAATTCTCCATGCCCATCGTCCTCCACTGTGGGTGGAGGGAAACTGTGCAATGTTCAACGATACCGTTCTCACCTCCCCAACACCAGCACCCGTCCACCCACTTTTAACAGCTCTCCACACACTCGAGTTTGCCTTTCACCCCCTTCCCGTTTCTGCTCGCCTAGAGGGCTCGAGCTTCCCCCCATTCGATTTGCTGCAACGAGTTTTGGAATCCCTCCTTTCCTTCCATTCCTCTGCGACTCGCATTGTGATAGCCTATTAGGTGCCAATGTCACATGCCCATGCCCCATAGTCCATATCCTATGCCCCACTTTCTCCTTCCCCCTCCATACTCTCTTCTTTCACAACGTATTCTCCTCCTCGTTCACCCTCCCCTCCTTTCATGCTCGTCGAATTCCTCCCTTTCGAGCCAAGGGGCCCCCACCCTTAGACAATGAACCCCCTCCCATTCCGCCCGCTCCTTCCTCTCACCCCCTCTCCCCTCCTTTCCCCTTTCCCCTTGCCCGCCCCCCCCCCCTCCCTTTTCTTCCCTACCCCCACCTTCCGAGTATGACCGGTCCGCCCCGCTTCCCCTTTTCCCCCTCTTTCCCCTCCTCCCTCCTCCCCCTTGTTCCCCCAGCCCCTAGGCCCCCTTCCCCCAACCCCCACCATTCCCCGTTCCCCTCCCCCCTGCCCCCCCCCCTCTCTTTTCCCCCCCTTCCCCCGCCCCCCACGTACCGTACACCTGGAACAGCACCGTGCTGCACTGCGCCTGGCCGGGCGGGATCGACTGCAGGTTGCCCGCGAAGATGCCGTCCACGCGGCGCGAGTCGATGGCATCGACCATGAGCTGGTAGTGGTGGATGTCCTCCAGCGAGTACGACCGGTCCGCCTTCATCTTCTGCAGCTTGCGCTTCAGCCCGCACAGCGTGTCGTAGATCTGCTTCATCTCCGGAGGCATCTCGGAGGCCTTGACTACGAGCTCACTGACCAGGTCTGGCGCGGGGGGGGGGGGAGGGGGGGGTGAGGGAAAGGGGGGAGGGGGGGGTGAGGGAAAGGGGGGAGTGGGGGGGGTTGAGCGGACCGGGATGGGGAAGGGGAAAAGGGGGAGGGAGAGGTTGTTCAACTCGATCAGCCCGCACAGCGTGTCGTAGATTTGCTTCATCTCCGGCGGCATCTCCGAGGCCTTCACTACGAGCTCGCTCACCAGGTCTGGCTCAGGGGGAGAGAGAGGAGAGGAACGCGGACCGGGATGCGGGAGGGGAGAAGGGGGACGGGGAGGTTGTTCAGCTTAATCAGCCCGCACAGCGTATCGTAGATCTGCTTCATCTCAGGAGGCATCTCCGATGCCTTGTCCACACGCTCACTCATCAAGTCTCGCGGGACGGGAGCCCGGGGAGAGGAGGGAGGGTGGGGGGGGTGATTGTTCAGTCAGCCCGCACAGCTTAACGCGGGGAGACTGGGAGGGGAGGGGAGGGGAGATGGAGGCGCGAAGGTGCTTCAGCTACCACAACGCATCGTAGATCGCGCGAGCGCACGAGTTCGCACGAGTTCGCACGAGTTCGTGCGCTTATGTCACATCGTCCGTAGAGTTCCTCGACCATCCGTTTATATAAGGAGCCCTTCAGAGATTCTGCCCGCGAATTTGCTATCTGCCGCATGGAGCCGCTACCGCCCCGACTCGTGGTCGCGAGGAAAAAAACAATCTAACAAACAAACAACAAAATAGTAATAGCAAATACGAAACACGTATCAGTAGTTTATTCCGCTCACCATATCGCCCACGAGCACGTGTCACCAGAAGGCCACGTCTCCTCCGCTCACCATAACCCTCAGCTCGCGTCCCCCTCTCCTCCGCTCACCATAACCCTCAGCTCGCGTCCCCCTCTCCTCCGCTCACCATACACCTCGCCCATGAGCTCGTGTTATTAGCAAAGACAAAAAAAAAACCTCGCCCATGAGCTTGTGCGGAATCGCCACGGCCTTCCCCCCCTCTCCGCCGCTCATCGTAAGCCTCGTCCATGAGCTCGTGTCGAAACCACCCCTCCCACCCCCCCCTCCCCCTCTTCCCCCCCACACCCCTCCCCGCCGCTCACCGTAAGCTTCGTCCATGAGCTCGTGCAGGATCGCCTGGCCCTCGGGAATGACGGTCTTGAGCGACCCGCCGAAGATGCCGTCCACGCGTTTGTTATCCACCGCGTCGAGCCGCTCCTGCAGCGGCAGCAGCGCCTCCTCCGTCGGCGGCGTCTTCGCCTCCTGCATCGCCTTGAGCGTGTCGCGCAGGTCCAGCAGCTCCTTGTGGATCGGCACGAGCGCGTCGCTTAGTTTCTCCGTCGCCGCGGCGGAAGCGCCGGCGCCGGCGGCGGCATCGGCGGCGGGGACGGCGGCGGGGGGAGCGTCTGTCGCCATGGATTGAAGCGGAAGGCTGGAAAAGGAGAGGGTGGCGGGCTGGAGAGGATAGGACAGAGCAGCGATTTAAGAACGAATTCGAGCGCTGCGGCTAGGTATCAAGGGATGGAAACTGTAGGGGACAACCGAAGACGGAATGTGGTGTGAAATTTCGCCGCTGGAAACGTCTAAAGGCGGAACTAGCGAGGTGACTGAAAGATGAAGGGCTTGGACAACAACTGAATGGGGGGTGTCGGCGCCAAGTGTTGAACGGACAACGAATGGCCGTGACGAGCTGCGTCCAGTGGATGACTGACTGCCTGACTGACAGTTGGCGAGATGATAAGGCTAATGATTCGAAATGTGAAAGCATGAAATGCCAAGCACATGCTTGTTGGGAGGAATAATAGTAGCGAGTGATGGTGGTGGAGAGGGGAGATGCTGTGGGGGAGGGTTGATGGTCAGATCTTGAGAAATTCGTGCGAGAGAATGTGGTTGAGGAAGTCGGGAAGCCAAGGGCGTATTCCAGTGCATTTTCCGAAGTAGAACGAGTTACTACTTTGTTGTTCCCTGGGTCAAGATCCAAGGTACGATATTCTTTGCACTCTGCATGATGCCATGGAAGAGTGACACATTGTTCCTGGATCTGCACAGAAATGTTTCCTTCAGTCACTCCCTGAGTCCTCGGGATAGTGAAACTGTACGATGGGAGGTGCGTCAGTGGCAGCGCGTACTCGTGGCAACAAACCCCTGAACCCCTTTATGGGCACTGGTTGGGGCAAGGCAAAGCAATGGAAATCTTCCACAAGTGGATAAGGTTTCATGGGTGCTGCACATGTGTCATGCCGGTGGCATCATATGGTTGGGCATGCAGGTTACACTACATTGGGTTTGACTTGTCGAGGGAAACTCATGCACACGCGGCACATCGAGATTTCAATGATCCTAACAGCCACGCTGGAAGCCTTGAGATCCACGATGCACACCATGCGGCGAATGTGTCACGAAAAGTATCGCTTGTTACGAATAGATGCAGGTGGACAGCAGAGTTGCACACAGTCACATTTCCCAACAAGCCGTGTGCATGCGACATTGGGAGAGGGTTACATCGGCAACCTTCGCAACATGCACCAATCTCCAAACATGAAGCAGCAAATGTTGGAGCATGCCACCTTGTCCAACATGGCAGCTCCAACTTTCAGTATTAGCATAGTGGAGACCTGTTACGAGTGCAATTGAGTGAGCGAGCTAGAATTGCACTATCGAAGCAAAACAGTACATCGAGCGAAAGCATGAGCGAAAAAAATATAGTGAAGCTAGCGTGGTAACGGTAACGCGAGAAATTGGGGAGCGCTACGGGCCTAGCGCCGAGGTTGGGAAATGTCGAGGCGGAGGTACGGGGCGCAGGTTACCAACCGAACCGCGAGGTTGGGTCGCGTCGTGAACAGCGGAAACAGTGGTCAAGACGAGTGGTCACGGTGCACTGTTGGGTACTGTTGGCGGGATCAGTCATGTACGCGGTAAGTAGGGGCGCGAAGTAAGGAAGATGAATTTTCCTTACACTACCCCCCTCCCCAAGGAGGCCCTCCCTACGAGAGTGCGTGTACATCCCGGAAATTGCGGCTGTGCAGATAGTCGGTGAGGACGGGGTGGTTTTCGATTCTATCCAGGGGCACCCAGTTGTCTTTAGTCGGTGTGCGGTCCTTCCAGCGGATCAGAAATTCGATCCTGCGAGCTCCACGTGGGTCACGAACTCGGTGGCTCAGTATTTATACGGGCGTGATGATTGGCTCTGTTGGCGGTCGTGTCATGCTGGCTGGGCGATTGCGAGGCAGTTGGCTGGTGGAGGGGACGTATGGGCGGAGTAAGCTGACGTGGAACGACGGGCTGACGTACCAGTCTGCAGGGAGGAGGAGGTGGGCGGTGACGGGCGTGATCATGTGGGTGATGCGGAATGGCCCACAATATCGAGGGTGGAGTTTCGGAGTAATGGGCAGGCGGAGGTTTTGGGTGTCGAGGAGTACGAGGTCGTCGGGTTGGTAAGTGACGGGGCGGCGGTGGCGGTCGGCGTTACGCTTAGCGATGATGTTCGATTTTTTTATGGCGTATGCTGCCCGGGTCCTTGCTGTCTGTAAGATTTCTGCGAACTGTTCCGGGCGTGGTACCGGGTTGTCGGGATGCGAGGTCATGGGCACTGTTGGGTTCTGTCCGTAGTTGAGGTAAAATGGCGACTGCTGGGTCGTGGCTGACGTGGAGTTGTTGTATGCGAATTCGATGAGTGGCAGCTGTTGTTCCCATGTTGCCGGGTCGTCGCACGTGGCTCGTATTAACTGCTCCATGGTTTGATTTGTCCGTTCTGTCTGTCCGTCGGTTTCTGGGTGGTACGATGAGCTGAACTGTAGTCGCGTGCCGAACTGCTGCCACAGGTTCCTCCAGAAGTTGCTGGTGAACTTCGTGTCACGATCGCTAATCATTGCCGCTGGTATCCCGTGCAGTCGAACGATGTTGGAGATGAAGAGTCGGGCTGTTTCTTCGGCTGTGATTTATTTTTTTGCAGGCTGCGAAATGTGCCATCTTCATCACCCGATCGACGACGACCAGGATCGCGTCATTCCCACTTGCTCCGCCGGTAACCCCGTGACGAAGTCCATCGTCACTTGCTGCCAAGCACGCTCTGGGGGTGGTATTGGCTGCAACTGTCCTGCCGGTCGCTGTCGTGACGACTTCATGAGCTGGCAGGTGGGACACGATGCCACGTGTCGCTGCACGTCGGTCAGCATCTCGGGCCAGTAGTAATACCGCTGCAGCTGCTGCCGTGTTTTTTCTACTCATAAATGTCATGAGGTAACCCCGTCATGTGCCTCTTGTAGCAGTAATTCCTGTAATAACGTGTAGCTCGGTACACAGATGCGGTCGTTGCCGGCTTTTACGTAATAAGCCCCCTTTGTTGCTGCGAACTACTGCGAATTTCCTTCGGTAAAAAATAAGTCTGTCTGGTAGCAGTGGGTAAATAGACCTGTAAGGAGTGGGCTGGTCTGGGTGAGTAGTATAGCGTGTATTTGGGCAGTGGGGCGGTTCAATGCGTCGGCGATGTTCGATGCTCCTTTTTTGTAGGTGACCGTGTAGTGAAAGTTGGACTCGCGGAAGTCGAGCCAACGGACCTGTCGTGGGTTGAGATGGGGCTGTGCGCGGAGGTACTGTAGTGATTTGTGGTCTGTCCGTACTGTCACGTACGACTGCTAGCATTTCGCGGTCGTGTATCGGGTATTTTTTCTCGGGTGGATGTAGTTTTCGTGACTCGTATGCGATGGGCTGTAAGCCGTTGCCGAAATCCTGTAGCAGTACGGCTCCGATGGCGACGTCGCTTGCGTCTGTAACTACTTCGAATGGGCGGTGTGGGTCGGCGATGCGCAGTACGGGCGGTGAACAGAGAACATGTTTCAGGGCAGAGAAGGCAGCATGCTCTTTCTCCCCCCACGTAAAAACGACCCCCTTGCACAGCAAATCTGTCAGCGGGGCAGTTAACCGTGCCATGTCGGGGACGAACCGACACACAAAATTAACGAACCCTAAAAAACTTTGCAGCTCCGTGATATTCGTCGGGGGGTGCCACGCTTTCACCGTGTCTAGTTTTTTTGGGTCGATCTCATCTCCATCCTCCGAAATAACGTGCCCTAGAAATTATAATCTGTCCTGAAAAAACTCGCACTTGGAACCCTTGGTCAGTAGTCTGTGCTCGTCTACAACTTTAAACACTGCTTCCAAATTTGCTAATTGCTGCTGCTTGTCGCGACTGTAAACTAGGATGTCGTCGAGGTAAACTATCACGCATTTATCTAAGAGCGGCCTAAACACCTCGTTCATGGTCATCTGAAATATCGCCGGTGCGTTGGTCAACCCAAAAGGAATCACAGTGTACTCGAATGGCCCGTATCTAGTTCTAAAAGCCGTCTTGGCGCAGTCCGATGGTTCGACCCTAATCTGGTGGTAACCTCCCCGTAAGTCGATTTTCGGAAAAAACCGGGCTGTTCGCAGTTAATCTATCAGTTCGTCGACGCGAGGGATGGGATATCGCGATTTGACTGTTACCCTGTTCAGTGCTCGATAGTCAATACACATGCGGAACCCTCCATCTTTTTTCGGTGTGAACAGTATCGGTGCGGCAAACGGTGACGAGCTTGGTCAGATGAATTGTTTCTCTAACAGGTAATCTAACTGCTTCCTCAGTTCGTCGAGCTCGGGCTGTGTCAGTTTGAACTGTCGCTATACGGTTGGCTGTGCCCCCGGCTCCAATTCTATTCGGTGGTCATGTGCTCGCTGAGGTGGCAGTCCCTCCGGTAAATCGTCCGGAAAATTTTGTCAGAATCCCAACCACTAGACCATTGGGATGAAAGGGATTGTTAAGTAGCGGGTCAGTGCGCCCATAACCCCCCAGGACAACGAGCCTGTAACCCTTCCCTAGGATCAATCGGGGATCACCAGTGGACCTTTGACAAAATTTCCGGGTACCGTTTCAGTAATTCCTGTAGCTCGGGCGGTACGGCTGTCAGCAGTATCTGAAAATCACTCGGCTACTCTCCTTCTTCTACCAACGCGATATCCACCGCGTACACGTCAGCTCCAGCGGCGACATCCCGCTTCATCGTGATGGCGTTGACGTGGACCGTCGAAGACTCAGGTGACCGCCAGCGAGGTAGTTCAACCCAGTTACCACTACTTCGCACAGTGCAGCTACCTGTCGTCCAGTCAATTCGCGGGTTGTAGCGTCGCAGCCAATCACGTCCCAGTAAAATGTCGTGCCCATCCAACGTCGTCGCGAGCATTTCCTGTGTAAACCCGAAGTTCCCCCCGCAGCGAAATTTTACTCTCTCCATTTTTTCCCGTATGGCCAGAGGCGTGTCGTCAACTAAGCGTGCGTCGATCTCCGGTAAGCAGCGACTAAGTGGCAGTTGTAGCTTCCGTGCAGTTGCAGTATTAACTAAGTTGTGGCTTGCTCCTTCGTCTATAAAAATCTGTCAAAC